AAAATGCTATCTAATATACTACTTAAATACAGATTAACAAAATCCAAACATGATAATACTGTATTCTTTGCAAAGAAGAAAGAAATAACTGTAACCATATTATTTGTACATGTTGACAATATTACTATTGTAGCAATGAATAATAATACTATTGCAATAATAAAACAATCTATTGTACATCATTTACAATATACAGACAGTAGCAAATTACACTGGCTACTTGGTATAGAGATTCAACACAACAGAGAGCATAGATTCATTAGGATGCATTAGACACATTATATTAATAGTATAATAGAATGTTACAAACTTACAAACAAACAAAGTGTACAAACACCCATGCAGCCTGGTACACAATTAAAAACAGTATCACAAACTGATAACAATAGAAAACAAATGTCTGATATATTATACATAAACATGGTTGGCACACTTAGATACATTGTAGACTGTACACAGCCAGATATAGCATTTGCAACAAATCAGTTAGCAAAATACCTTAATGACCCTGGTATGGAGTATTATCTAGTACTTAAACATTGTTACATGTACTTAAAAACTATGAACAATGTCTGGCTCCAACTTGGCAGCACAAATCAATCAATATTGAACAGCTATACAGACACAGACAGTATGATGCAAGAAGAGCATTGTACAATATCAGGATACACATTTTACTTGAGTGATTCATTAGTTTTGTGGTCAAGTAAAAGACAAACACTGGTGGCAAATTTGATGTATGAAGCTGAATTAATAGCTCTTACAAGAGGAACACAGGAAGCAATCACACTTACTCATTTAGCTGAAGAGATTCTGCAGGTCTCTGATGCACCAATTAATATCTATTGTAATAACAATGCTGTTATACAAACAGTTACATTGGACAAACTTAAATATTCGGAACAAACAAAGCATTTAGATCATAAGAAAGATTTTATTAAATGCTACATTGAGTTAGAGTACATAAATGCAAAATACATATGGACGAACAATCAACAAGCAGATATATTAACTAAAGCACTATATGTACCACAAGTCAAACATCTTACCAGTTTACTCAGACTAGTAAGAGTTTGAAGGGGAGTATTATGAGATGATTAGTTTATCAATGGACGAACCACGAGACAATGACTTCATAATGTCTCAGTTAGAATACATACAATATAAGGACGAGAGACACTGAGCAGTCAATCGTCACCTCACCCCTTGTCTATGCATGCCCCCCTTAAGTTTTCCCTCTTAACAGATTCACTTCCTTCATGATTCTGGAGGGTGAATGACCCCCTGAATCCCAGCTGCAGGTCTGACCAGCCTGGTTTCACCCATGGGATTCATTTAATATAGTATTCCTTGATTCAGCCTAAAAACTTAGATATAATTGTAATAACTTAACAATTTGTATAACATGTATAAGGAGATAATTAAGCTGAGTAGTAGTAAGTATAAGGTCTTTACATACAGTAGATTATTATTCTTATTTTTATTCTTATTTTTTATTTTTGTATGTGGAACAGTAGGTAAATCATATATTAATTTTGTAATTTGGACTACAAATTTTGTATATATGAAACAAAAGAGGAAAGTATTAGGGAAAGAGATGTGTGCAGGTGAATCGCAGAATGCGTTTGAGAGGTGAAGCGCCTCCAGAGGCGCTTCACCTGTCGACGCGATTCACCCCGAATCGCAGGGGTTTCGGGGTCCGCGATTCACCTCGACGCAAAGTGAATCGCGTCAGTGAATCGCAGGGTGAATCGAATCGCAAGGTCTGACCACCCCTAATGATTCGGCGAAAGGAGGGGAGTAGATCACGCAGATTTAGCTAGATCATCAGCATCAAAGGACGAAGATGAAAAACAGTATAGGCTTGAGAAGATGCCATTATCTGGTTCAGGACGTCTGAATCGTTTATCTACAATGCATATCTACAAACCGCAAGACTAAACATACGACCCTCCATGCGCAACAAGGAGCTCCAATCGGACAGATGTGGACGGATACTTTGCCGAAGCGCAAGAGGTCGAATAACAAGAAACTCCTGAAGAGATTTGATTGTAAGCAACAGCAAGGAGGTCGGTCTGCGAAGAAAGCATTTCAAACCACTTACGCACACGAAATTAGGGCCAAGAGCACTCATAGTGTGGCTGGTGGAGTGTAATTTTCGCACACTTGCTCAAATGCCTTCACAGACTGCGTGGCGATGTCTGGGGGGCATGCCTTCTCGACACACGAAATGAATTTATCCAGTACCCCGTGCTTGTCGCATATACAGAAGTCAAGGCTTGCACCGCAGTTGAACCCGTCGAAGGCATCATCGTAACAAGGCAATGCACAACCTGTACCTGTTGTAGTGTTAGAGACGAGCGGTATGTGAATGAATGAAAAGTAATGAGTAAACTGACTAGAAACCTCCCTGTTGAAATTTAAGGCAGAGGCAGACGGAATGGCGATGCTGACGAAGACGAGTGCAATATTAAGGCGCATGTTGCTTGTGTTTTCTGAGGGGTTGGGGCAACGAGAGACATGCTTTTATACCAGTAGATTGCTGCAAGTCTAGAGAGGATGACGGATGCATGTGTTCAAAATTTGTGGTGAGGTCGCGCTCCTGCCAATCACAACTGTTTGAACCAGAGATCAGTGCTTCGATTGTAACCTTTGTGCTAGATGGTACGATGTCTATCCAAAAATTCTTCACGTCTGTGCGGTGCCATTACAATAGACTCAACGAATTCAAGAATAATATGCAACAATATTTTGCTCTATACCCCAAAATGTTTTTCGTCGTTACGACCATGGTATTAGGGCTGCTGCGGTGCATCTGCATTTTTTGCGAGTTGATCGACCCCCAGCTTGAACTGAATCCCGCTGGTGAATGACCCACTTTGTGAGAGACTGAATTGCTGAATGTGCAGGCGTTAGGTCAAACATGCCACGTGCTCGTATAAGCTTCTCCGTCAATTTTGGGTTTAGACAGCTGTTTACCCCTCTACTTATTTCTCGAAAATCTTCAGCAACGCTTTCTGTCCTGACGAAATGGAGCAATTTGGTATTGAAGACAGGCAATGTCGAAATACGTTGATAGCCTAGTCCATGTTCGCGTTGTAGACAGTGTGGCCCAAACCCTTCTGAAGTCAAAAGTTGAGTTCTATTTGCTGTCAAGTCAGCGGAGCTCAAACTCGTCCCTTTTCTTAGTTTCATTCTCCGCTGCGTCCACGCTTCACCTACCAGAGGTATCAATGTTGTGGACTGATGTAGAAGTACATTCGGGACCGACAGACGGCACTGGCTGTTCTTCCTCAGATCAACTCTCCATATGACAGCTCGAACTGCATTGGCTAGTGGCGTATTTTTTGATCTTCTTTTAAGATGCTCGTTGACATAGTATTCGGTCCCAGGAGAACTTGAGCAATCTATCTTGATTTCATGTCTCATGTCTCTGCTGTGGTTCTGATGAAAGTGCTGCACATGTTGCTCCAGATTCATGACTGGACCCGCTGCCAACAAATATTCAAGCACTTGATGTCTTTTATGTGCTTTCGCTGGGCTGGGTTAAGAACAAGCGCGCGTTTGACCTAGAAACGTTTTCGTATCATTACAACACTCTTTAAGAAAGTCTTATAGGAACACGTCCAAAGGCTAGTCGCTACTTGTGAACGAATGAAATAGAGCCAGACCTAATCTACTTCTAGACAGGAAAGGGGCATTTATGAAAATGCAATTGTCTTTTTGTTCTAGGAACGAAATACTCACTAAGTTTTGCTTTATTAAAGCATCTTGACAACATCTAATGCTGCACGGAAGTCAGGCACTCAGGTTCATTCCGTCGTGACTCGTACTTTATTCTTGTTCAGAAAGGCAATGCCATTACATGACGCTACTATAACTCACGCATGTACTCTATTGTTTACTGCCACATGATCACTGTTATACTCGTAGGATACACGACTTCTTCATTGAAGATTACAACGACTGACAGTCATAACACCGATACTAGATATTGGGAGGGAGATGTCAACCCAAGCCAGTGAACTAGCTTAAATTACATACCAGCAAGAAATTTCAGAAGTCGTCCATAAACATTTCGTTCTTTATTCCGCAGGAGGAGGCGCCCCAACGCTCTGGCACAAGTTGTCCAAATACCCCTTTGCCGCTTGCTGATCCGCTGTGTTGCAATTCGCCTTAACGCACGTTGTGACATCCCCAGTGTACGCGTTATTCTCGCACAAACATGCGATATCCGTTGTCCCGCAGTCCCCATGGTCGGCAGTCAATAAACAAGTATCAGCACATGCTTTTCGTCGTGGAAGAGATTTGCGAAGAAGAATCCGATGTTCGACATACACATGTGTTCATCATCAAGCAATGTGAGATCTAGTTATGAGGAGAAGGTAAAGCTTTACCTGGTAGATCCTGTCTGGCAACGAACAATGCGGAGACAGAGCTGACTGATGCGGAGACAGAGCTGACTGAGAGGCAGACGAGAGCGAAGACAGTGGAGAAATGCATCCTTGGGTCTTTGGTTTATTGAAGACGAGGACCCAGAGGGCCCCGTACTTATACACTCAAGAAAGTAGGCATCAGATCAGTTACAAGCGCAAAGAATTCGGTAGGCGACTGCAGGTGACCATCGGAGCACATGCACGGCTGCACAAAAATGCAATAGTATGACTTATCGTAGACATGTAGAATTCGAATGATCCGGAGGAAAGCAGGAGACTTTCTCCGAAATAACATACCAATGCCCGAACCGACACATCAGTGTTGAAATATGTCATGGAAGTCGGCGGAGAGCACATGAAAGCCACATATCATAACGCGTGAACTGCTTGCTGGCCGACGAGCTGAGTGGAGCTGCTCGTGTCAGTTGATGAGAAACTGCAAGAAGAGCAACTTGCTGCTTGTATGCTATAACCCAAATAGGCATTTCCATGAATAAACCTTCTGAGTCAGTGCTGACTCATGAGCAAGCAATCTGGAGTCTTGAGTCTTGATTCCCCTTCCCTTGATACGAAACAAACCGGACACGATAGTATACATGTCCCGAGTGACATGGAATCTAAGGCAAACATTGACACCTCTTTTCGAGAAGCCCAAAGCAACTGTTGCCCTTGACTCAATCATATGGCTGTCGAAGTCTTCTCTCGGATCTCGTTCATAGCTATCTCCGAACCGACGAAGCTCTAAATCGCGGTGGTTCTCGCGTACATGTGCAATGCGAAGATCTTTCATTACTTCCATACTTCTTTTCGCCCCAGTGAAGTAGATGAGTTTACTGGGTATTACAATCTTCAATACCCCAAACACCGAATGGTATACGTCAATCCAAATCCACAAATTATCACAAGATACGCACCAGGGGGAGCTTATGCAAGAATCATCTCCAACACGTTACTATCTATCCTTATGCTTCTCCGCCGCCAGGATACGGAACCCCAACACTCGCACATGTGTCCTGTACAAACTGCTTCGCCTCTTCCTTATCCTGCCCTTGGCATGTGTTATCGATACAACTCTCGACATCGCCAATGAACTCCTTGCTCTCGCATAGACATACGTTATCCGTGGCAGAGCATCCCCCTGAGTCGGCGTTGGCGATGCAGGTGAGAGCGCACTCTACTCGGCATGCAGTGACGAGACCATTTTGTTTAAGACATGAAGATTAATACTAGAAGGGTTGTAGAAGAGGGATAAATATTACGTGGGACTTCCTGTCGTGCGATTATCGAACCGAATACAGAGTTCACAGCGAGACCAGTGAAAAGGAGGACGGTAGAAAGGCGCATCTTGAGTCTAAGCTTGAGTTTGCTGGAGGAACGAGTCAACAACCAGACAGAGTATTTATGCATATTCGTTGTAATATCAATGTGCATCAAACTAATAAACAGCACATGGATGCCAAGGCTCGGATAATATCCTAACAGTACGGCAAGTGATTGCAGCTTTAACGGAGCGCGCAGAAAGGCCAATAAAAGACGACGCATCATGATTTACACACGCACAGCCGTCCGATACAGCGAGTTTAATTACAAAGTGTGAGAACAACATAGGATACGAGTATCATGAGAACGGAAAATCACTGATGCAGTGGTCGGCGAGCAAGAGAAGAGTAGAAAACAAGGAAATGCCCAGTGATATCATTTGATAAATGAGTTAAAGAAACAGGTGTTCCATAGTACACAGGGATTCTAAGTAGATAAACGAGTAACCAAAGGGATGGTCATAATGAGAGAAGATAGAACAGGAATACATAGCCATTCGAATTCAGGTACGAGTAATGTTGTTCGGAATCAAAACGCCGGCCAGTATCAACATTACCGACCAAACGCGATGTAATGGCCTTTGAAGTATGGGATTCCATATTCATCCCCTTGAACTTTGTCAAGTACCACAAACGGGATATTAATCATACACGATCCCGGCTCCCCTCACCACTACCCTTCCTGTGTTCAAAATCCGAGAATGGGTCTGCACCGCCCTTCAAGTCGTCATCTCCCTTCCTATCACCTGTAGTACCAGTATATCCACCTTGCTCATAATCAGGCAATTTCGCGGGGTCATACTGAGGTACGTATGCTTGACTCTGAGCAGGTGGCGGGCCTGGCGGCGGTCCATAACCACTTGCACCGAATCCGCCGTACGGACCGTTGTTATAGCCATAGGCTCCTGCCGCATATGGAGGATTGTAGTGCTGCGGTGCAGCATTGCGTGAAACATTCACGATAGAGGACGGATCGAGCATTTGACGGTAATACGAGAACGCTATTGAAGCAAATAGAAGCGATAGGATTGCCGTGACGATGAACCAGGCGATCTCGGAGAACGAATCGTGCGACCAGGCATCTCTGCAGACTAAAGCAAGATAGAGTAAGCATTTGGGGCGATTGCCGCCAATCTGATGAGTGCAAACTTACACTCCTCAGCAGTTTGCCCATCAAGTGTTTCAGTGGTCGTTCCCCAAATGCCAAAACGCTGAGATGGAAGTCAGATGTCAATGATGAACCGTCAGGTTGCCAATCTATTATTACTTACTGTTGTGATGGTCTCTCCGTTTACCAACGCCTGACACTCGCTGATCAAAGTATTCTGAATACCAAGCAAAGCCAATGAGAAGCTGTAAAGTAGCATTCCTTTGAGAACCACTTGCCTTGAACACGAAATGGATGATTACACGGATAAGTTCCGTAGCAATGACAACGACCGCAGCACCAAGTGACAAAAATGCATAGGCCCGAATCATCGGCAATTTTTGCTATTTATAGATGGCATTGACAACAATAATTGGAATTTGTGAGAAGAGTGCCTTATTAGCAACGAGCGAGGTGGGAGCAGAGAACTAGGAAAATTTCGCGTACCATTGACGCTGCTGCAAGACCGAAGAGCTCAATGACGAAAGTTGCCATGTATAAAGAGCCTAACACGATATCAAAGACCTCGAGTTTCGCGGCATGATCATTGTCGACAGATATATCGCGGAAAGACGCAATCTAATTGCGTAGCGAAGGGAGAATATCAAGAGAGAGTGAGCGATAAAGGGCCACAGCAAATGGCGAGAAACACGTCGACGTACACCCCAGACTAATGCCCATAAACCGCCGAGGAAACTGACTGGGTAGAGCAGTCAACATACGGCACGATTAACCCGCAGATAAACAATGGCAACTTACCGAATACTACGACCGGTCGCAGACTCCTACGATATACTCTCGTAACGAATGCGTACGAGGGAGGTGCGCCTGTATAGAAGAATTAAATTCGTACGACGTTAATAATACTTTGATGAGATGCTCTTGGATTACCTACCTTGTGGCGGCGGGACTCGTGTTGCTGTATTCATTTGTGCAATCCTTTCGGAAGATAGAGGCAGAGGTTCGAATGCTGCAGATACTAGAGTAAAATGCGAATAACGAGGTGGATGGAGTATGTATACGTGGTGACCTGCACTGGAAGACAAGAAGACTGCGCGAGGCAGTCCGGGCTGCGGCGCCCCCCTCTTTGGCTGTGCAGGTCATGTGATATTATGTCACAAAGAAAGTCAGCGAAATGAGAAAGAATTGCTTCTTTTGGATGACATCAGTCATCCGAGTGGTTTCTATTTTTAGCATGCAAAGCCATTTAATTTAGCAGCACTGTACTGTGTACACGGGATAACCTATACATATTATCGTGGAAATTACAGAGCGCTGAGAAAATGTCTACCCATCCTCATCATCAGAAAAAACCACCCTCGTCTTGGTCTTTGGCTTTCGCGCCTGGACGTCAAGGTCAGATTCAACGTCCGCGTCTTCGGGTAAGCGTGAAGCAGTAGTAGTACTAGTATCCGTTTTTGCTGGTGGATTAGCGGCCGCAGGTGATTCGGACGCCTCTTGCGCATCTTCATCCGGAGTATGCCTAATTTTGCGCGGTCTTGGGCGTGGCTTCACTTTCTTCTTTGTCTTCTGCGGTGTTGAGCTTGTATTCTTGTCCAGAACTGCGTCTACGCCAAGCTCGTCCGAGTCCGAGCCAGAGTCTGATTCTGAGGCGGACGAACGCAATACTCCGATGTCTTCATTGTCGCTCACGCCGTTCACTGACTTCGGTGAGCTCTTCCTCCTTTTTGTACTCGTCTCCTCCCCACTCGCCGCTGTATTGTTCAGTGCAGAAGTTCCTCGCGGTTTCTTCCGCTTTTTAGTACCCGTCGCACGCAAGGACGCCATTTTCCCTTCCGCCGCAAGCCTCTCCGTCTTCTCGCGTTGTGCGCGTTCTCGAGCCCAGAACGCTTCATCATCACCGTACTCCACGTCTGAATCCTCAATAAACTGTGCACTCTTGTATTTCTCCTTCTCTTTCTTCTTCTTGGCCCGCTTCTTGTGACTTTCGTCGTCAGATGATATTCCATTCTCTGAACCGGAGGAAGAAGGGGCGCGGCGGCGTCGACGCCGACGGGATTTTTTGGTCAGCATTTGTGTTGCTTTCTTCCCTCCGAGGTCGAGTGGGGTATCGATGAATTGGTTGATTACTTTCAAGGAGCTTTCGAGGTCTGCTGGCAAAATTGCTGCAGGAACGAACCACTCAAGCTCGTCGGCATCTGAATTTAATGCATCAGTGAATCACTGACAAGGAGACTGTAGGGAGTTACTTACTCTCATTTAAAACGGAGAACTTCAAGAGACGGAAGAGTAGTTTCATGTGTGAGTTCTTTGTAGCAGCGTCAGCGTGTTCGTCGCTCGTATATGGAATCACTGAAGGGTGAGGGTAATGAGTGTTAGACGAAGTTGAGGATGTCACTGTCATGCATGCTCACGATAATCTTGGAATTTGGCCAGGGCCTCGTTCGATGGTTGACGCAGCTTATTTGCGGCATCGCGTGCGGCGTCGTCATCCATGTCGTCGAATAGAGGCTGGGACAGTGATTCGTCAGTCTCCTCTATAATCCGCTGTCGCTGGCCAATGGTCATCATCAAGATCTAACAGTCATCAAGACGTCAGTAAAACAAAAGCGAGAGAGGTTCTATGACTACTACACGCCTCTTTCACCCAGTCGACAAGCTCTTGTTGTCCATTCTCCAACAAACAAGCGATCGCGATTCCAAGCTGCTCGCTCCACGAGAATCCTTTCTTCACCTGAACTTCTGCCGGATGCTTGTCGGTCTCTACATCTTTGTCACGTCCTCTGTCAACCTTTGCTTCTGGCTCCCAACTCGAATACTTCTTCCAGCGGTTGCGAGTCTTCGGGTAAAATGCCTGATCAAGGAGGCGAACTAAGTCTCAGAGAAAAGGGTATCGCAGAGATAAAGAATACTTACTTCAACGATAAGCATCGGATCCTCTGCCACCGCTTTGAAGAACTTGCGCAGGATGAAGTTGATCAGAGCAACAAGGTCTTTGTAAGGTTGCTCGCGGGGAAGCGTCGCTTGTCTACTTAGGATGTTTCTGAAGAGGTTCAATGTCGAGACTTTAAAGAATAGTCCCTCCGCCTTCGCCTTCACAGCTTGTCGATGTAAGAGGTTGACTACTCGCTTCATTTGCTCTGATGAAGTGAACTCTTCGTATCGTCCCAAGTACGTCATGAGTGTGTGAGTGATCTCTTCATGTGCAAATTTCTGGCGACAAGTATTAGTAAGTATTGAAGAAGGAAGGTTTCACAGGACACACCAGTTCAAATGTTTCAAAGGTGAAGATAATTTCTTGCACAGCGTGCTCCTCGTCTGAATCTGGCTCTGGTTGTACTTGTATTTCTTCCTCATCGACCTCATCTAGGCACACTCGTCATTTCATGACCTTACTTTGTGATGTAGAGTTGTCTTACCTTTCCTCTTTCTACGCTTTGCTTTCTTTTTCCTCACGAGCAGTTCTCCGCCGCCACGCTCCCTCGCCCACTTCTCCAGCATTCTCAGTAATGAATAACCAAGCTTTACACTTGCATCAAGGTACTGCAGGCTCTGGACCCCCTCCTTATATGCACGTAGTGAATCCACTGATATATCAAGTACCTCGCCATTGTATACGAGTTGCTGTTGAAGAAGTTCAGCCGCTTCCGATAATTCTGGGTCTTCCAGTTCGGTGGAGTGCATGGTATCGATGAGTGCTAGTAACTGGATGAGGCATTCAACTCCCGCCTGCAACTCGGTCCAGAGTTTCGGCTGTTGAGGTTGACTCAGTATTCACCGGCGTCCTATAGTTAAATGGCAAGACGTCACCTTTTCCTCCACCGCCCCGCGCATCCGTTTTAGAATCCACACAATCCAACTGCGTTCAACGATTTCACTGACAAGATCAAATTGCCATTTAATCGATTGTCCGTCTTGTTCTGAATTCTCTATCTGTGCTGTACGGACAGCCAGAAAGAATTCAAGGAACCAACGAGTCGCAAACAGTAGGCGTAAGTGGTCTTTCTCGGTGATTTTTGGACGTTCGGACTTGATGTCCTTCAGTATGGAAGCGAGGAAAGCTACACTCCATAAGCAAAAGGTCTATTGTGGAACGGGTTACTCACTATTAAAGCATACTTCGACGAAGGTTCGAGCAAGTCCTTGGAGTATGGTCTTTGCCTCTTGGTCGAGATAGTCCTGTAGTCCAAGTTCATCCACTTTGTTCGTCTTTTTATATTGTCTTCGCTTCTTCATATCCAGAATGTTGCCGGTTTCTTGATTAAGCGCTTGCTGACGGTGCAGGACTACTTTCGGGGTTGATGCGTCACTCGGAATGGGAGCTGACGTTGTGTCCCCATTAATCTGCTGCGCTTTGTTCGGGTTACGAATCACAGAGATCGTGGTACCGAATCGTGAATGCCGGGAAGAAGCTTTTCGGGAATTCTCCAGTTTGAGCTTGTTCTCGGCTGCAAGAAGCTCTGAAAGTGTCTTCTGTGCTCTCTGGAATACTCAATTTAGATGGATAATTTTGAACTGATGTTTCATACTTACTTTTGTCTGGTCCACTGCGAGAGCAGATGGAAATACACTTCGGAACAGGAGGTAGAATATTTCTAACACCAAGGTATTCCATTGATTGAAGAACGGATCCTTCGCATTAGAAGCGATGGTAACAAGGAGTTCCAAAACGTGGGCTTCGGCATACGTTTTAACCAATCTCGACTGCAGAGCCGACAATTCGGCATGATTGGCACTGGCGTGCATATTCGGCGCCCGGTCCTTGATAAACGCCAGATTTCGGAATAAATGTAAGATAACGTTGATGATTTGCCCGTCACGTTCCGACCGCTCCTTTTTGTCTTTTGCAATACATGGAAGCAAAATACCAAATAGAGCTTGAATTACACCTGGTCGAAGGAGTGCCGCCTTATAGTGCAAATGGCTCTGCAGCAGTTGCGTGTAGTCCGTGCCCTTGTCAAGCTCCTCATCAAGCTCCTTGAGTTCTTCGGCAAGGTCGATAGGCCAAGTCATCGCCGTAATGATATCTGCACATGCGATGGCACACTTGTCGGTTACAAGACCCTTGCCTGCGGTCGCGAGAAGGATCGGGACGAGATCATTTGGAAGGACACGCGCCTCCCAAAATATTCGAGCTACTGTACGCTCGTCATCCGTGTCGTCCTTACGCCAGAATTTCTTGAGGTCCTTTAGACAGCCGTAACATTCATCACCAAGCACGTAGGTGTCGCCCTCATAGCCGCCGAGTGCCGTGACAACATCGTTGATAGCAGGGGCGAGGATAGCGCGTCTGTCGATCTGTTCTTGTCTCTCTTCATCGTCCGACTGTACAGAAATCTCCTCGTCACGGTCCATGAGATAGCTCGGAGTATAGTGAGGGACGCGTCAAGCCAGAGTCGCGTCCTCTGGGCGTCACGCGACCGTGATTCGTGACAAGGTGTGAGTGTAACGCGTAGATCTGCTATTGCCGAAAGGGGGAGCGTCGATCAGAACGGCAGTCTCACACGAAATCTGGTCTTCGCCGCTCATTCGGGAGCGCCATTTTGACGCTCTCTCTCCGACGTTCATGACGCCCGCCTCTCCCTCTCATCTCCAGATTCGATAGAGCAGCGTCCTAAAATGCAACGAAGAACAGCCAAAGGCTCTGCACATATCTCGCCGCCTCGAGCCGGATCGCGGGCCTTGACAGGCTCGGCCGCCGATATGGACTCTGAAAAAAACTCGCGACTGAACCAGAAGACGTTTGGCGTGACGAATCGCATCTGGATCATCCTAATGCTATTCGTCTTCATTATCGTCCTCACTCGCTTCGTCTTACCCTCAGATCCTTCTCTTCCGCGGCATGGCTATACGGATACTAGTCGTCTCACTCCAAAGAACTATATGAATGCAACTGATACAGACCCGAATCCGTTCGAGTTTTGTCCCTTGTTTGGACCTGGTGACGCTGTTGGTGCAAAACATGGGATTCATGCTCTGATGAAGAGCAGGATGCATCTGGGAAGTGGTGCTCGTGTTCAGCGTGTTATTCACAAAGCTCTGTCTGGCTTGCCAGTAACAATCAGCATTCTCGGGGGATCAGGTATGTACCTGGACTCCTACTGTGAGTTAGGCTGATAAGAACTACATATAGTATCTGCATGTCATGGTGCCGGTGATGACCCAATCTCTCCGAGGTGCTATCCCTCCCGCTTCTTCCAATGGTGGAACGAAGTATTCCCTCACCCTGCCTCCGAACTCACTAATGGTGCACAAAGACGTACAGACTCAGCCTACTTCTCCTTTTGCAGCGCACACCACCTTCCGGATGTGACAGACCTCGTTATTCTTGATTTCGACGTGGACGACCCCTTAGATGATGCGTGGAAGGCACACTTTGAGCTTCTCGTCCGCTCTATCCTCGTTCGGCCAGACCAGCCCGCGGTTGTCATTTTAGGCCATTTTAGTCCGCAGATTATTGATACCTATGGATTCCATGGACCAGAAATCGTTCATAATGTGATTGCACAATTTTATGATGTCCCGCACATCAGCACCAAACCGACTCTCTTCCCTTCCTATATTGCGAAACCGGACTCAATCAAGGCATATTACGCCGACCCCGTGTTGGCTAGCTCTGCGGGCCACGAACTCATCGCTGATGTACTTATCCACTACTTCCAATCGCAAGTATGTAGTGCTTGGGCTGTTGCGACTGGGCATGCATTCGATGTCGCTTCGCCACTCCTCTCCGAACCTGGTGCAGGCGCAGGTGCGAATGACGCGCCATTGATGGACAAACATGGTTTATTTGGTGGTCTGGGTAATCGTCTTGCGGACGGTGCAGGTGGCGTCGACAGCGCGGCAAAACACAACCCTCACCTCCGTGTACCTCTCGGTCGTGTATCCGCTCCTCCAGGGGAACAACAACGAGCTTCAGCAGAGGAAGTCGCACCATACTGCGTCAGCGCCAACGACCTCATCAACCCTCTCCCTCCGAGTTTGTTTACCGGCTCGGGATGGACGCAGGTGCATCCCTCACCTGGGTCTGTGGGCTTGACTGCGTATGAGCATTATTGGAGTAGTGCTCAGCCAACGAGTCGGTTGCGTGTTCCGATTCAGGTTGGCGCGGGTGATGTTGCGGTGTATTACCTTGTGGAACCATTGAGGGATGATGATCCTGGCAGTGCGGTACAGTGTTGGGTTGATGATAATGTGCCTGGTGCTCGAATGCTGAGGAATAGAGGATTTGTAGATGAGACCACTCCGACGTGAGTCACTATTTTCCTTCAATTATTTGTCTTGAGAATACTGACTTGTCATTGTGTTTTGTTGGAATAGCGTCACCGTAATCGACCACTACGTAACACGAGGCTCGCACTTCGTCGAATGTCAATTAATGGGCGATGAGGGGCAAACTGTACCTGCGTTCCGACTTCTTGGAATTTTCTCTTCATGATACCACCTTGTCATCTCACCACTTCCTCCCTTGCACGCTCCTCCCGTTCATAGTGGCATCTGTTCTTCGGTTCATTCATTTGGTTTGTTTGAGACGATCATATCCCATATTTATATCTGTTTGTTCTTATTGGGGTTTAATCGCATCCATCAAATTCCAAAGCAATCACACGCATCCGTTGTCCCTCAAGTCTCTCGAATCTTGCCACTTACTCACTTCGGATTCTATGGAATGCATTCCTTACCCGTGGACAATGGCACAAATGGACAATGACACTTCTTTCACCCTCTCGCAGTCGTACTATCTTGATTTCCTAATTATATAGACCTATATATGAGCCAAAGCAAACTTAACTATTCAGAGTGGCTTGGCCTGAATCGTTTCTGTCCAAGGAAAAATAGTTATGACATGACAAAGAGCAACCAATGAACCAATAGTAAATATGATAAAGTGTTTATGATTCTACACTGCATAAGTAGCCCAAGTAAAAATGAACCGAGAGCATCAACATGGACATTGTAATGATTACAGGATGCCAGAGGAAATTAATGGAGTATGCGAACATTGCAATACAGTACAAATGAACTACAATAGCAAGGTACACGGGAGAGCAGAAGGACAGTAGGAATAAGGAAAGGGGAAATGCAGTAGTTTTGGCGTACAACATGTAATATGAGCAATAAAAGCAGCGGTAATTAACGGAGGACAGGAGGCAGAGAATCCAGGCGTGATAAATCGTTCAGGCGGCACTTGGGAAGATGAAGAGTCCAGGGGAAAGGGCAATGAGGAGGGTGAGAGGTGGTATATGGAAATGAATGGTATAAATGAATAGGTGTGATAGAACGAAAAGAGCGTCCCTGGGATGTCGCAATTCCATTCATCAATCATTAAGAGAAGTAAACCTGCATGCTATGTCTATAGTGACACATAATGCACGTAGCGGATTCTTTTTGTAGTTAAGTGCAGCTGTGTTCGTGCACCCTTCTAGTCGTATATGCGTGATGAGTAGCTATGGGCATTAGAGTGACGAATTGAGTGTTGTGGGGGTCCCGTCCACGAAGTGTGAAGGTCACCGAAATCCGGAAATCGAGCGTCTGTCGTCCCGATACAGCAACGCACGAACCTTCTCTAGACCGCGGCGCGCTCGACGGGTCATACGCTTCATGTCCAGTAGCAGGATATCAGAACATGAGAAGAAGGTTCAGTATCTGGCTGACAGCACTCACTCGAATCACACGTCTCCACGCGCGCCTCCTTCCCCCAGGTTCGCTCTGCGTCTCGTCAAACTCTTCAAGCCACGTCATCGGCTCATATCGATTTACTGGTCGCCGGACATCAGGCAGAGACGCTGCTCGTCCTCTTCCGCGTTCCACGTCAGCGAATGGGTGCTTTGGACGGTCAGAAAAGAAACTAGATTGAGAAGCCATCGGCTAGGCGAATAAACATATATTTGTCATATGCGTGAATGTTGTCGTGAACGTGTGTAGAAACGATACTTTGGATTAGAAACATATTTCAGTGAGGATATTTACGAGTACTTACCATGAAGCTTCGATATGTGTATGGTCCGAGACCTGTTGCTTGAGAGCGGCGGTCCGCGTAGACATCGGGCGTGATCTAAGATGAAAAGAAGCAGTGAGGACAAGGATTAGCATGCATATAACCTTTTTCTTCGCACGGGAATTCGGCGACGGAATGCTAATGTGCATGAATACGTGAAATGGAACTCACTGCGCGCTCATAGAGATGCTCCGGATTTGCGAAAGGGTGTCGATACATTTTGATCTGCACTTTGGTTATTCCGTGTTGTCAGATGATGACAATCCGTAGGTCAACAACCAAAAGGCCGGGAGATAAGTCTATAACTCTCGGGTCTGTGGCAAGGAGGGAGAACTTGAGGAAAGGAAACTTAAGAAACAGACGTAGGGGCTGAAACGAGTGTGGTGAGAACGGCTGTCTCTAGCGACGTGAAATGAATGGACGGGGCGTCTAATGAACGAATGGCTATCTTTTGTTGATACTTTCTGCGTGGGATTCCAACACGAATGCAAGTTTAAGTATCTCCGCGTTCCACTAGCGATGACCGTCAATCGTGGTGGCACGAGATCGAGACCTTCACGAAAGCTGCGTCGAAGAGAGCCTTGAGCAGATAGCACGAGCGTGAAGATGCCAGCCCTGCGCTCGGGCGAGCGAGCTGGGAAGATTGAGGGAGCTTTATTGATCCAAGAGGTTTGAGAGATGAGGCAGCACCTCGGATCGCCCGCCTTGATCAGGCAATTTCCTGATCCACGAGGCTGTCGGACTTTAAATGTTATGATCGCCGCTCCTAAAAAGGTCGAGGTAATTTAGACATCAGATGATTTAGATGGCAACAGAAAATTCTCGCTCCGTTACACAACCTTGAGAACTCCTCTCGTAGCGAGCGTATATACAAGACGTTCATGCTCGATACCGTTGCAAAAGAGTGTCGACGAAATACGCTCATATGTGCCCTAATTCTCCTTGGATTTTACCGTTTTGTGCAGCCGAGCAATCTCGTCTTCCATGCCAGGTCTCTCTCCGCATCAGCGAGTTACTCCAGCTTCGTACCTCAACGAAGTATCTCGCACAGCTCTGGATTAAGTTTCGACTCACGTTCGGCTTAACTGGATCGCAGTTCTTGCTCTTTCCGGAGATAAATTAGTCCTGTGGCGTGGAATCTGGCTAGGCCGTGACGGTTCAAACCGCAAAATAATCATGATGCTTCTACTGGATCACCAAGTATATACTTTCTGATAGTTCCTTTATTTCAAGGCTTTTCTGTTTCATTAGGCTACGGGCCAAATTATTGCACCGAACTTCAGTGGTATCAACGCGGCTTTCTAAAACGCAAAGCTGCTTCCTGTGGCGTTACGAACTGAAATACGGTAATTCCTTGAATCACCTAGCAACTTTGCTGCCCCGTCGCGTTCTTGTGTGCATATTTAGGAGGTCAGTTCGTATTTGTATGCTGTTCTCCACTTGTCGTCGTGGAACGCGACGATTTTCTCGGCAGTTTGGCTTCCTCATCTGTGCAGACCTCGTCACAACAAGTGAAATCGGGAAGAACGCACAGGAAAGGTTCATAGCTTCCGCTAAAACTATAATTAGCTCGGGACTTGTAGACGGCACAGCGAAAGATGCCTGTGGCGTACATCTCACTCTGGAAGACGTCCGAGTCTTTTCACACTAGCCTTCACTCAAAGCTGAATGCCACTTACGAGGCTCTCCGACCTTCCTTCCATAGCTTCGTCGTGTTCTGCGACACGATGTGGCCATTTGTCCTCCCTCCACTGTTTGCGATTGCACTTGAGGCACCACTATCGCTAAGGGTGCGTACAGAGTTCTTCACCTCTCTCCTTCCATTGGTGGGTGACTATCAACTGAGTAAACGACTTGCGCGTCATAGACATGGATCGCGGTACAGAAGACACTACCTCCACGACTGACAGAAACACCGCCACCGCCTTCCTACCTTCAGAAGATTCGCAAACAAGCGCTAACGCACTTCGCACCCGTGTATCTACTCTTCGTCGCTCTCCTTGCTTCATATTTACAATGCGTGGCGCAAGTCCCGTCTCGTGACTTGCGCATCTATGAAGGAGTGCTGTTCGGGCCATTGTTTTTGTTCGCTACGTCGAGAGTGAGTGATGAATGTTTTGCTTGACACGGCGGAGCCGAGTCGAGACGATATTGAACACAATACGTAGATGTTTGGACTGCTGTCCCGGCTGTATGCTCTAAGTGTGAAACGTGATATTGAAGGAGGTTCGTGTCTTCTCTCATGTCTCTGTCATAACGTAAGATAGGGATTAATTCGTCGTCGCTTCTTATTAGACCCGTACATCATTCGAACTCTTCGACCCTCTATTCCGTGCATTTTAACAATCGTACCGGTTATATTGGGCCTTCTAGTCAGCTACCGAGCTATTTCCCTCAATGACAGCATTTGCAAAGTGATCGTTCACGCTGCGCTCTTGCACGTATTTATCGCGACGGATGTACGCTCTACGAAAAGCATGCGTGCCGTTGTTATCTATGCTGTTACAAATGTGCGTTATTTATCCAACTATCAGATGTTCCATCCCTTTTGAGATGTTTATATCTGACTACTATTTCCTGGGATCAGGTCGCAACACTTTTTGCACTAACTATTTTCCTCGTTCTTCACGCACCACAAATCAAGTTCCTCCTTTCCAACAAAGTAACGGTAGATCCACAAGAACCACAATACCCTGCTTGGAATGAATTTAACGCAACTACGTCAGCATTGCTCAAAAGCTCCAACTCTAGCAACGACAACGATAACTTCAGTCTTCTTGATTCTCTTTCCTGGAATGATACGACAGATGATTCGATAGGATATCGTTGGCCACTGTTTGCTCTTTCAGTTCTCTGGAACATTTTCCCCGTTGAACTCATCACGCTGTGTTGTCGCTTTGATTATGCTTGTTGCTCTGCTGCTGCCGCTTTGCCTTTATCGCTTGCTCAGCCTCAACGTTCTGACATCGAGTCCTCTGAGGAAGCAGAGTTTGTTAACGGAAATACTGCAATCGAGGCTGGAGAGGTGGATAAAAACTGGATTGCTGAAGGTGGACAAACATTGACTCATGATATGCTTCCGGTGTATGCGCCTCCGAGAGAGAGAACGAAAAGCATTGGTGGTGTTGGCCCAATCTTCCTCTCGCCCGAGGCTCCGGATTCTTTCTACGCTCATTTGTCTTCGCCGATGATTGCATCTGAAGATACCAATTCTAACATGTCAAAGACCGCCAAAGTATTGAAAGCGTCTTCGACTATAGGACAAGAAGGGACGCCTCTCCCCACGTCGCTCGCGCATTCTCTCACCCATTCAACATCAATGCATCCTCAACATCAAACGCACCTCGCATTTCCCACATTCATCTCCTCACTATTAGCTTATCTAATGTCCACGCTCCTCTTCTCGGTTCTCTTCTATCTCGCAATTGAGTACCGAAGCGAAGAAGCACTCAAGTGTCTGGCCCCGCTCTTTCCACTAGTTACATTGCCCTTGACAACGTTTGCTGTTCCGTTAGGACTCCTTCTATGTTCGGATTACCGGGGTGGATTCTTGGACTTATGGGGCTATGAAGAGGTTTGGGGATCTGAGCCGCAGATTATTGACGAGGATGGTAACGATACTGTAAGGCGGACGACGAGTCTAGAGCGCAGTGAATATGGTGCTGCGGATGATGAAGAGAAACGACCTCTCATGGTATAAAAGCTATTGTCGTCACAGGGCGAAGGTAGAGATAGACTTATGTGTGTTATTTATCGGACAACCATTTCCTTTATATTTTCGGTCCTACTATACATGTGAGACATCCAGGCCAATTGCATACTGTAATGTAGGAGAAGGCCTTATAACTCATGCTTGCTAACCGTTCCGGACTTGTGATGATTTACCAAATCAACTGACCCCTATAGTAAAACAATGTTCGTTAGGAAGCTCTGCCTGTACGTGACTAGAAAAGTTCACACACCCATCGACGAAGTACTCTCCGCCGGTCATGTATGATGCGTGATCAGACAGAAGAAGAATTGCCTGTCCCGTCATCTCATGTGGCTCTGCAAAGCGACCAAGTGGGATGCCTTTCGCCTGGTTCTCGAGAACCTTACGGTCCATGTGCGCAGTCTGATCCGTGCTCACTAAACAGAAAGGTATTAGTATTTATCTTGCGCGGACTAAAGATGTGAGAGAGGTGCAGACCATAGCCAGGAGAAAGTGCGTTCACACGAATGCCATGCTTCGCCCATTCGGCGGCGAGGCCCTTCGTAAGATTGGACACTGCGCCTTTGGATGAATTATAAAAGACCTTTATGAAACATTGTTGAGTTGTTAAATTAATACCAAATCGTGACTCTGTGCACCTGTGTGAGAGGCTCGTTCTGATCGACAATGTTTATTATCTGCGAGCTCATTGAGCAAGTGATCACGATGGATCCACTCTGTGCCTTGCGGTCAATCCAAAGCCTTTAAACAAAGTAAGTCACTGTTTTCAGTTACGCCACGAGCCGGATTTACTTAGCGACAGCTTTGGCCGTGTTGAAGACACCAAGGACGTTCACGTCGTACACTTTACGAAAGTCTTCTGTGGTGAGCTCAATCGCAGGCTTTATGACGCTTACACCAGCGTTCTGAGACATGCGTGTATGCGTTTAGTGAGTACAATAATAAACACGCACGTTATTGCACTTACGGCGATGAGACCAGAGACTGGCCCGAGCTCGTCATCAATCTTCTTGACGGTCTCGATAACAAGCTTTTCGTCCCCAACATCACACTTATAGGCTTTGGTCTTCACGCCGAACTCTTTGCCAATTTTCTCCGCCACTTCCTCTGCATTCTTTGAGGCCCTGTAAGTTACTTTAGCACAACCGAGCCAAATCTAGATGGCTGTGAGAACAGACACCTGTAGATAATTGCAACACTAGCGCCAGCTTGAGCGCAGGCCCTGCTGAATTCATAGCCAATGCCACGGTTACCACCTGTGACGATGATACATTTACCTGTGGCACGCCATCATGCTACATTAGAAGGGCGAACATAGAACTTCCTGTAAGCAAGTGGACCGACCAGAAAAGTCAAAACTGAATCCCTTAACCATGGTGATACTAGTTGAACTTGAAGAGTGAGGACGAGCGAGACATCGTAAGCCAGTCTTATATTGAGTGGCGATGGCAGGAGACGGCAAAGGCCGAAGATGATTGACGCCCACTGACGTAGCCCACGGTCCTCTATCGGGCTTCGTGTAAAATAACCGTGATGCAGCTCTACAGTCAGGTCGCCGATGTAGTTTTCGAACGAAACGCATGACCATTGTCGGTCTCAACGGCTGAGTAGTTGAGAACATGCTGGTTGGTGGTCTGTCGAATCATGGCGAGGATGCCCGGTGTATTAATACTTGATTTTAATTTCGACCAACGAGTGACTCATCCGTCTTGACCCCGTCGGCTTTCGTCGCCTTCAGAACTAACGGATGCATGACATATTACGTTGTGGTGATAGCTAAATCGGTACTGAGATGCAATGAAACACTGCTCATGAGCCAAAACAAACATGTGCGTTACCGCAGTGCCATACATGACATGAAAACCTCATTTCCCAGCAGATTAACTGGTGCCTAATTGCAAGGGAAAGATATCGTAACCACGCGCGTATAAATGAGGCGAGATAATAATGCCATGGAATGATAGAATATTTTTTTCCCTTCCCTATAAACCGAGTAGGCATGAGGTTGAATGAGCCTGAACATGAAATTCATGTTCCGTTTTCGTGACTTGTCGGTTGTTTCCGAAGCTCCGAAGCTCCGACTTCTGCACACACGAAGCGTGAACGCGAAGTAGACCTTATTTATGAATTATGTGACACGAAGTAGGTGAGTCAGTGATCACCATGATCACCATATGGTTAAGACGCTAAACTACGGCAAAGCGTTAGACTGGACCAAATCTTCAGCCGTCTGGTCTGCAGGTAGCCCAGTTCTAACAACAAAGAAAGATCTCGTAAATTACTCTGGACACTTCGTGACATCATTGTGACTTCTCGTGTCAGACTCTTTGGTGGTCGTGGTCCTTCCTTTGTCAGAATTCTTTCAGCCCAACTTGCACGGTGCCGCGACAATGGCTAGTAAATCTCGGTCAGAGGCCTATACAAGAGCCATTCCCGTTTATCTAGGGTTTGATACGAAAGACCGACCTCTGCCGCGACCCCCGTCGTACCTCTACAAAGACCTCCATTTAAATATCTTCGACAAAATGAACGTACGGGACTGTTCATATCCAGCAGTCAGGTATCGCCAGCAGACACTGACAAAGTGTGAAAAATGCTGCTCCAACAAAGTGTCCTGGGTTCTGGAGGGCCAGGATCGTGAAGGCGGCTTTATCTACGCACTCCGTCGGTTGTATAAGACAACAGACTTCCCTGACCTTGACTGTTGCGAGGAGACGGAAAACGAGAAGCATGTTCATATTTGGAAGCAGCTCATAGGACTGCCGAGATACGGGGCAAGAACACACTTGCGAGACAAAGAGACACATGAGCTAATCACTGCGACCGCGGTGGAACAGCCTCCAAAGCGACGTCTTTGTATACGCCAGGTTATTTTCAATGAAATCCACAGCCTATCCGACGCAGAGGGTCCTCTCCAGTTATGCGAAGCTCTTCGTGATGCGATGTATGGTAAATCTCTTCTCCTGTCTATCTGGTTTCCAGCTCTGAGGCACAATTATCAGGTCTTTTGAATGCCTACAGAATGGGATACGTCCATCGACGGATAACAGAGAAAAATATATACAGCGTCAAATGCCAATGCAAGCACATGTATGGTTGTATGCTTGCAAAGTATGTCTGTACCCTTTCTTCTGAAATGGGTGAGCGCCTACAACATTGTTCACAGGGATGGCAAGTCTGTCGAGGGTCCTCCGCGTCTCTTCTCGGGCTTCGTGTCTGATTTTACAGTGTGTCAAAATTTAAACGGTGATAAGGATCAATATACAGGTGATACCGAAATATCTGTACGTCATAGAATACGTGTTCCAAGCATTAAACACTGACTCGATTCTCAGAACCAATCTTGTACTACGCCATCGTCTTTGCTCAGATCTAAAAAGCTGGAGCGTTCTGACTACGTTCATTCGCCCATCTACGACCTGGATTCGTTTCTTTGGGTTCTGATTGTAGTCTCTACTGGAATCATCAATGACTACGTCTTTGGCCGTCGAAAGGTAGAGTTGGACTGTCCTGAAATGGCCCAGGCAAGGATTGCACGTGATACGAAAGGCAATACTGATGCACCTGGCGAAGAACCAATTGCTGTTGACGATTTGACTTCAAAGGAAACAAGGGACGAAGGCGTAGCAACACCTAAAGCAGTTGTGCCAGATGTTGCAGGAGCGACTAGCGAGGGAATCGCACCTATGGAAACTGACGCTGAAGAAACGAACTGTAGCCGGACGAACCAGCGCGTTGATGAAGATGTGCATATGGACATTGAGCCAGTAAAAATTGAATCCGGACGTGGTGCTTATCACGAAAATACGGACCAGGACGATGATACAATAACTCATCCTGACAACGAAAAGCAAATGGAGCAAGGGCGGAGCGACGAAGCAGAGCACGAGAAAAGCAAAAGAGCGAAAGGTAAGGAAAAGGCGACTGAAGAGAAAATGTTAGAGGATAAGGAGCCACCGGCTGATGATGGAGTGCGAATTCCTGAGCTGCTCCAAGACCTCCTTTGGTATTACGACGATTCGTATCAATCATCATTAGGTATAGGCTTCCATGTCATGAAACCTGTGGAACACGGACCTCCGCAGGACTTCAAGCCCCCGGAAAAGCCAAAATATGTTGCATTTGCAGAGGATAAGTTTGCATATATCATCAATACATTCGCTGGTCCTCGAGCTATGCCAGATCGCAACAGAATCGCACGACTGCATCTTGCGTTTCGTCTCGACGAGCTCGTTGCTCATAGTCCTGGCCTTGCACCTTTCCGTTCACTCATTATGGAACTGCATGCACTCGCCGGCCATTACTTCGTTCCGGATCCCACGCGTGAGACGAAGTTTTCAAACGATGAAGTCGAAGAGGCCTTCGCGCGTTATTTAGATGCGTTCGAGAAATTCATGCCCAAGCAGGACAACTGGCTATATTTGAAGTGGTATGAAGGGTCTGATATATTATACAAGTTCGACCAGGAAAATTTCTTGGGTGCCTTTGCTTCGCCAACGAATTTCTCCTGATGCAACTCTGTCTTGAGCCCGTCCTGCTTCACAAAGTCCTGCACATGCTGTGTGATGTTGCTATTCCTTTTAATAACTGCACCTTTCGAGATATCCTGCACACTTGTAGCGGTACCGTTTGTTAGATTATCCTGTCTTGTAAGTAGTAAATGAAAAGATATCGTTGAATTAAATTAGATTATTTCCATGAGCACGTGACGGGATGGAATAACGTTTCCGCAAACACTGCCTGACATTCGACCAATTACACAACTTATAGACCCAACGACTGCTCACTGTTAGCTTTTACGATGGTGCGCATCTCTATTCCTGCTAAAATAAGCGTCGTTTACTCACAAATCCCCAGGGTGGCGGTGGACAATATCCATACCCAAAGGAAGTCTGGTCGCCAGCTGGTGCGTCTCGAGTGTACAATATGGGCATGTGCTACCATTCATGACCTATGAATTTCTCTCGATTATGTTATGGTTCATAAAAACTGGGATGGTTAAAAAGGTGGCTGGTGGACACGCCCTTCGAACTGGAAGTCGAATACCGCTATTGTGTTTGGTGGGATTTTGGCCATCACATATGGCGTTTGGCAGCTTAGTGCTTCGAGAGAGGTGCGTCCTTTGTGTTTGCATTTTCTCTCCTTGCCATGAAACTGATCTGGCTGTCTTCTGACTTGATGCTTCTTTCCACATATATATATATATATTCCGGGTTGCAACGATGGTGATAATGTTACATCGTGCAAATAGTGGAGGCATTCCCCGCCTTCTAGGCCGATTCCGTCTATGTTGGTGCGTACCGTGTAACGCGGTTCGCAAAAATCATTACAACTAACAAGTATCCTTTGTATTTTAGTGGGCTAAACAATATCAGGGGCAACAAGCAAGCGTAGAGAAAGCCAAGGACACAGAGTGATTTGTATAGCACATTTATAGATGCAATTCAAATACTTCTCCTTTGGCTTGTCCCGTCATTATAAAAGTGCTGGGTATAAACACTAACGTTCTTTCTCCTGTTTTCCCTTCTTTTTAAAAAGGTCCTTGCAGCTAAGACGTAGACAATGCGACGAAGCCGGAAAAAGTCTCATTGACAGTATTACACGAACAGTGCAACAAAAATATAGGAAATGATAACAGTAGATGAAAAGCAAGTAAAGCGGGAGAGTAAAACTGAAGACAAATATATTAGCCTTGTTCCGCAATGACGACCTTCTTTTTCTCCGCTTTCGGTTTGGTTTCGCCTGCACGCGTATGCTTCCGCCGACGTTCCTCTTTGACGCGCTGAGCTTCGAGCATAGTATGCTTGAGCTGGGCGGCCTTGTAAACTGGCTTTGGTAAACGACGACTCCTGTTGACAAAGGTAAGACGTCAGCGAAGACACGTTAGGTAAGGAAAGAAAGCAATGAGAAGAACAAGTGCACTGGACATACCGCGTAACTTTCGCAATCTCCGTGTCCATACCCCATCGTGCTCGTAAACTATCACGATATTCCATTGCAGCCTTCTCACGCGTCGTTACGACGCCAAGTTTATCTGAAGCGCGAGCTTTCCAGATACGAACGTTGCCATCGTCTGAACCAGTTAATACGAAGCGTGCATCTGCCGTGTATATCGAGGAAGTCACTCTGAATGGGGACTTTTTTCAGTATAACAATTTCCAAGTTTTCTTGTTGAGATACCATACCGTTGCATACGCTTTGTATGATATACCTCCGGTGCACGTCCAACGCCTTCTTTCCATATGCGAACGGTTCTATCCCATCCGCCAGAAACAAACTCAGTACCTGTCGGACTCCAATCACAAGACATCACCGCGGCAACGTGTGCCTTATAGATCTGTGTTGGCGTGTTTAGATTTCGAATATCGAATGTGTACAAGTTATGATCCTCCGATGCCAGGAGAACAGAAGTCGGGAAAGTAGGTGACCATGCGAGTGCGTTTGCACGGAATCGCATGATAACTCGGCGCTCTGCCTTGCCAGTTCGTATATCGTACAGTGTAAACGTGCGATCGGAACCTACGGACGCGAGGATGGAGGATTCGGAGAGGTTGAAGCGGAGGGCGGAAACAGTCTCCGTGGAAGTAGAATGTGTAAGATTAGATATCGCTGTGCTCCTGTGTTGAGTTAGTAATTGCTAAGTAAATCTACGAACGAATATTACTCGTACTTTGTCTCGTCCCATACTTGGACTGTATTTGAAGCGGTGGCAAAAAGGGGATCGGTACGGTGGTGATCTATTGAGCTTCATGCAGAGGTCAGATAAATTATACGAGTTATTGTGGGAAGGCAACGAACTTGAATGCAAATTTTCCAGGAAAGACTCCTAACGGTTTTCGACCCTTGGCATGATTAATTAGGTGAATACTTAGAACATGAGCCAAAGCTTACCTCGGAGGGTCCAGCGTCAATCTCCATCTCACCATCCGCATCTGATAAGGTGCGCGTATCCCAGAGTTTCACATTTCGATCTACACCACAACTCAAAAGCCGATCGCCTTCCGCCCAACACAGTCCGGAGACCTTCCCTTTATGAGCGCCAGGTAATCGTAGTAGATGTCGTCTTTGAGGGACATCATGCAGGATTATTTCTGGATGCAATCCTTTAAAATGAATATGAAAATTATCATGCAAAGACTACGCACCTCCATCCCAACTTCCACTTGCAACCACGTTCAGCGAGTGAGGTTTTCGAGCTAAAACTTCCACCGCATCTATATGCCCATCTAGGCTCCCTACAAATGGCTTCGAAAACATTCGCTCCATCTTCGCTGCATTCAATGCACGCATCCTTTCGCGGTGACGAGCGAACGGGTGAACGTTGGGATCCAAGTTACGTGATCTGGGCATAGGATCTCCCCTACGCTGTGGCATATGCTCTGTTGGCGAATGCTGGAGAACTTTTATTTTCTAAGATGTTATGAGTTAAACGTCGTTAAGAGTGTGAAGACATGCGCACCATGACTGAGGCTTCTGGTCAAAATGTGCTTCGTGCGGTCCCCAATTACCGACGTGATACGCTATTTCGGCTAAAATGATAGATATAACTCCTGTCTGCCCTCGAAGAGAGCCCTAGAATGCAGTGACTACCCAGAGGATTCTAGACAAGTTGGTGATTATGACAAGAAACTCGGGGCAAAGGATGGAAATTTAAGATTCTGTTCAATGCTACAAATTCTGTGCGCTGATCCGGCAATAGCCGAGCATATTCAGCCCTCCGTCAGCAACCGCATTATTAATAGTTCCAATACTTCGCCCTCGCCTACTTCAATTAGAGTACGAGTGGAAACTCCCTAGTTTCCCACAGTGAGGATTACCACAGAGGTTTCCCACAAGGTAAACCTCACTACCACAAGGGTTGCTGGAAATTGGCCTGTGGAAAACTCAAATGTATTAGTCATACATAATATCATGTCAGTAGATAAATTAAGAAAAAATGCCTCAACCTGACAAAAAGCAAGGAAAATAGATAGTTTGAGAGTGCATATACTCTATGTCTGTCATTTTATTAGGTCAACATCTCCTACTTTGCCTGACATTCTTTCAGATACTCCTTCATTTGAAGGAGTACACTCTGATAAAAATAGAGAGGTACAAGTGATAGATGTGGACAATATTTCCAGTACCTCTTTGAATGATTTACAAATTTTGAACAATAATAAAGCCTGATCAATGTAACTGGTTGCCTCTTTCTTTTTATTTCTCTTAGATATATCTCTTTATTATGTAGGTTTCAACACTGGTAGACTATAAAACACAATATAATTGCTCTCAGCAGTATAACCAATGTCTGAAATTAATATTACACCTAAATTTTCAGCTCAATAGAGGTACAGCACAAAATTCTTAAAAATTACCTTTTTGGAACATTATAATGATATTACTAATATACTGACTAAGTGTTGTCCACGCGAGGTTTACCACGCCTCCAGAGGCCCAGCAAAATGACCTGTGGAAAACTAGTTTCCCACAGGCTCTCGGGAGTTTCCACTCGTACTCTAACTTCAATAATACTGTTCAATTCGCGCTTTCCGCTGCACTCTCAGTCAACGTCGTATAATCTGATCGTTATATCTATGGCTCGCCCCGCAAAATCAAAGAAGAAATCATCTGATAATGTCGAAGGCCGTATCGAAGTGACCTCTGCAAGAGCGCGACGTATCTCGCGGAGGACTTCAAGTACGCGTCAAAATGGTGGCAGACAAGCAAAAACCACCCCTGAGAGTGACACAGAGGATCCTGGAGAAGAGAGCGACGCGTACGTAGATGACGATGACGATGACGGCGACGGCGAAGACGACGCGGTTTCAATGAACAGTGACACGCTTGACGATCCTGACTTCGACGCGCCCAGAAAGAAAAGAAAGCGCGTGTCAGCCTCGAACAAGTCCTCTCCGAAGAAGTCCCGGTCAAGCGTACAGTCTCCTACTAAGAAAAAACGCGTGCCTAATAGTGATGAAGAAGAGGAACTTGACGAAGGGCAGGAAGTTGTTGGCACAGTTGTGGAAGCACCGAAGACTGGCCGTGGTAAGTCATCCAGTAGTTTTGTTACCATATTCGTTCAAGTAACACTGGTATACAGTACCACCCGGGCAAATCTCTAAGAACACCCTCAACTTTCTGAAGCAATTGCAAGACCCGGAATGTAATGACAGGACATGGTAGGGTTATAACCCGTTCTTTTACGTCTCTACTCACTTGCTCAATATAGGTTCAAACTGCATGGTAAGTCGCAGGCTTTGAAGCCCTCGTATATTTATCAACTCCATCTCTACAGAGCCTGTATATCGCCTAGCCGAGAAAGAATGGAAAGACTTTATAGACGAGCTTACTCCATTGTTAACGGAAGCAGACCCACAGATACCAGTACTTCCGCCGAATGATGTCGTTCATCGAATTTATAGAGATATCCGATTTAGCAACGACAAAACACCGTACAAGACCAACCTTTCCGCGAGCTTCTCAAGAAGTGGCCGGAAAGGCATATTTGCCGGCTGTAAGTTGCTTGTCTCAGATGTTTGCATGCATGAAGAGTTCTGACCTGGCGTTTGCCTAGATCATCTGTATGAGTGTCTGGCCTGTCTCTGAAAGAGCCTTTGCTGACTTATTGCCTCTCAATGCATATCAGAAGCAGTAAGTATGCTGGATTTGTATTTGTTCGGTTGGTGTATTCTTACGTTCGGTGTTAGTTAAATCTGGCGGAAGCTTCATCGCTGCTGGAACTTGGTGTCCGGGGAAGAATGAAATACAGACCATCAGGTCCATGATTCGCCTTTCTATCGACCTTGATTGACTGACTTTCTCGTCTTCATTTGATTTTAGGAATAATATTTTACGATCGTCACGTCGCCTTCGCCAAGTAATTTCAGCGCCCGACTTTGTCGAACTTTACGGAGATCCGAAACCTCGACCAAAAGGCGGACGCAGCAACATCTTTGGATTTGAGGATGAGCTGAAGACTGCGCCGAAAGGTGTCGATAAGTCACATAAGTGAGTCGGTTCTCAAGCGATAAATTGATGCGGGTTCTGATAAATGCCACGAAGGGATATCGACTTACTGAAGTGCCGATCGTTTGCTGTCTCGCACAAGTGCGCTTTATTGATCTTTAATAAAACGTATTCACAATGTTTGTGAATGTTAATGGTTCTTTTGACTTCTCAGGTTTACCGACAAGGAAGTCCTTGATCCGAACTTCAAAGAACAAGTGAAAAGGATCGCTGCAGTAACTCGACCATTCGTTCACTGGTATGTAACTTGTTCTTGTCTGTTTGGGGGACAACCCTTTAATTTTTCTAAAAGCCTGAACGATATGATGACAATCGCTCCTGGTGATGATGAATCCGGAATGGAATCGGGAAATGAGCAAGACGATTAGCATTCCACCGTGCTTTCCCTTGGTTTTCTCTCGCTATCTCATGGAGTATGTTCGATCAATTTGGAATTTATAATAGCGACCGACAGGATATTCAATTATTTCGGGCGATCTGGTTTCGAACAATGTACACACGTATACGACTTAATCTATTTGCACTTGCAGAGATGTTTGCATGGATTATGAACGTGAGTTATTTGAAAAAGTTACTTGTATTGCAGGTAATTGCGCTTTACAAAATACAACAAAAACATGCCCTTTTCACGCTGGCAGACATATCACAAGCATGTTATCACAGTTCTACAGTGCGACGACAACGTTACAACGTTTCAGTATTAGAGAATGATGTCCAATTGTGAAGACTCACCTAAAGGTTCTCATCAAATCCGTCAAACCCGCGTAGTCCTTGGATCGCAGCGCGCAATTCCAGAATGGCTGTATTACTTTCCTCCGTGTTCAATTTGTAAGCGACACGAGGTTCTTCATCTGCGTCGTCTTCATCCGGAAGTTCTACAGAGGTTCGATAATCGCCATCTTCGTGCTTAGAAAGAGGTTTGACATCGTCCTTGGTGTATACATCCCATGTCCACCACTCTCCAGAAGCACAAATGCCAATAACCGCTTCCTGCATTGGAATTTCTGCAGCAAAGAACAGTTGTACCTGCCTTTCAAGATCTTTCTCCGCCTCCCTGATTCCATCCCATACACCCTCTTCGGTTGCTGTTGTAACAGGAGGTGGTTTGATTTCTTGCAAAGCGACCCATCTCTTACTGACTGTAGGAACATCGCTTCGGGTGGAGCGTCTCGGATAGGGCGAAGAACGTCTGGGCCTGAAAACTCGCATGACGCCATAATCAGGAATGAGCTCTTGCTTCACGGACTTTTCGTCTTGCCCTTCTATGAAACGAAAAATTCGAGGTTGAGGAGCAGGCAGAAATGTTATAGTCTTCTCGCAGAATGCCGCCCAAAAAGCAAACCATACTGCATACCAGTCATGCTCTGGACCACGATATATTGGTCTCTTCACCCTTTTACGTGCATAATCCTGTCTGACTTCATCGATGTGTCTATTGAGAAGCCCCCTGGCGTCATCCAGTTTAGCTTTCCAGTTCTCCAGGGTGCTTGGGTTGTCTGACATTGCTTGATACTGCCATAGAGCAAGGAGTCAGAGTGAGAAAACAGTAGAACATGGTCTATTGAACTGCTCACCTTGACTGAGAGTGTAGTTCAGTGCTCCTGTACTGGTGCACAAAAGAACCACACAGGATATTTAAATATTCACAGCAACTTACGTGGCCGGTCTTTATCATTCATCTTTCTTGTTTTGATTTGTCTGGTTATAGCCACAGGCACATATTGTCGATAGCCACATTTGCCCCGCCAATACTATTCTGTCCGTAATTTAAACCACTTTATACTCATATTTTCTTGTTATACGCTACGACGGATAGATCAATTCGGTTAAGTACTTGACATGATACAATAGATGCAATCATTCTTCTTCCGAGCTGAGATATTCATCAGAAGTATCGTCCAACTTACTTTCTGAGACGTCATCGAAGCCCAAATCAGACGGGTCATACTCTTCCTGTATATCGGTACTCTCCCGAATGTCACGGTTAAGACTGACTGGCTTCAACTGGTCGGGTCGAAAGCCCGTGTCCGGAAATTGTTCATCCTCGCTACTAAGTTCTCCGTCTATTCCCTCTCCCGAAACGTCAAACCACTTTGGCTTGGTGCCAGGTGGGAGCCCAATGATTTCGCGAACCTTCTCCATGTCCTCGTGCGAATATGTGTTCTTCTCTAGCCTTTTGCGACCATCGTCTTTGACGAATGCAAGGATGCGACCGGGTCTATTTCGATAGAGTACGGGACAGAACATGAAGTCGACTCCTGAGGCTCGTTCGAAATATTTTGTCAGCTTAATCATGGTGGGTCCAGGACGTGTTTGCCAGCGAAGGTTGAATTTCTCTGCGGCGATGCGGAGGTGTTTGTTCTTCAGATGATATCCATACACCCATTCTTCGTACAAGAGGCGCTTCTGGCGACGCTCTTCGCGAGTTCTGCAAGACTCTATGAGCAAAATATTGAAAATGGGAACGTGTGTCTACTAGCCCTTACGTCTTCTTTTTCGTTCGTTTCGATTGCTCGAGCGAAAGTTTCGCAACACCACTCGTGATTGATTTTGGCATAACTTCCAAGTGTTACGAGATAGTGGGATGAAGAGACGTGTCGAATAGAGAGGGGAGATGGGGCCTTTGAGCAGTGACGGCTATAATATAGTCGTCGGGAGAGAAGCGTGGCTCATGATCAACCATAAATTTATCAACTACACTTATCCATTTTTGGCATTTGTCTAATTTGTAGCCAATGCATATGGGCACTTCTCTGAGTCGAATTTATTGTGGCAGGTCTGCAGATCCCCGCTTCATCAACAAGGGTGGCCTGAGGGGCACGGGCATTCACTTCACATCACTCGGTGAACAGATACAATTGATCTCTTTTGGAAGATCAGCTGTACGGTCTCCTCAAAAGACAGCTGCCAACGTTTGCTCCATATCACCTAAGGTTGCATTCAGACTAAGAAGCACGCTAGCAGGAGATAACGGTAGAATCATACAAAATGAAAATGAAAATGAAAGGGATAGAGCGTAGAGAGTAGTGAAAGAGACAAAAGGACTCAAAAGGAATTAGAAATATATTCATTCCTCATCCGAGCTCAAATATTCATCAGAAGTGTCGATAAGATCGGGCGTGTCGTATCCTTCCTGTATATCGATACTCTCCTGAGCTGCGCGATTAAACTTGCTGGGTTTCAATTGGTCTGGTCGAAAGCCTGTGTCCGGAATTGTTCATCCTCGCTGCTAAGTTCTCCGTCTATGTCATCGCCCGAAACATCAACCACTTTGGCTTGGTCCCGGATGGGAGTCCAATGATCTCACGCACTTTCTCCATGTCCTCGTGCGAAAACGTGTTCTTCTCCAGCCTTTTGCGACCATCGTCTTTGACGAATGTAAGTATGCGACCGGGTCTGTTTCGATAGCGTACGGGACAGAACGCGAACGGGACTCCTGAGGCTCGCTCGAAGTAGGCTGTAAGCCTCATCATGACAGGCCCAGGTCGTGTCTGCCAGGGAAGATTAAATTTCTCGTCGGAGGCAATGCGGAGGTGTTTGTTCTTCAAATGATACCCGTACACCCATTCTTCATATAGTAGGCGCTTCTGACGACGCTCCTCGCGAGTTCTGCAAGGCTTCATGAGTAAAATAGGGATATTGGAGTACGTGTGTCCAGTCCTCACGTCTTCTTCTTCGTTCGTTTCGATCGCTCGAGCGACAGTTTCGCAACACCACTTGTGATTGATTTCGGCATAACTTCCAGGCGTTACGAGATGGAGGTTTAAAGAAGCGCGTCGTATAGAGGGAGCTTTGGCTAACCGTGACTAGAACATAGTCGTTAGAAGAGAAGCGTAGCTCATGATCTTCAACACTTATCAACTGCTCTTTCCATTTTGGTACACACCTAATTTGTGGCCGTAAGTCGCTTCTCCTGGTCCCGGGAAGTAGAATTTATTGTGGCAGACCCTGCCTCATCAACAACGGTGGCCAGAGAGGCTGGCGTATTCGCTTCACACCCTTCTGTGAACACAATACGGTGATCTATTGTGGAAGATTGGCTGTAACAGACAACTGACTTTTCTTTGTACGTATTCATTGCATTCAGATAAGGACACAAAAGTAAAATGAAAGGGATAGGGGGTAGAGAAGAAAGGAAAGGAGGAAAGGACTCTAAATGCATTTAATAAAAATGCATTTATTCTTCTTCCGAGCTCAGGTATTCATCGGAAGTATCGTCCAAATTACTTTCTGGGGCATCATCAAAGCCCAACCCAGACGAGTCATACTCATCCTGTATATTGGTACTCTCCTGGGTGTCATTGCAGGGCCAGCTGGGTTTCAACTCATTTGGCCGAAAGCCCGTGTCCGGAAATTGTTCATCCTCGCTACTGAGTTCACCGTCTATGTCATCACCCGAAACGTCAAACCACTTTGGCTTGGTCCCAGTTGGACGCCCAATGATCTCGCGTACTTTATCCATGTCCTCGTGCGAAAACGTGTTCTTCTCTAACCTTTTCCGACCATCGTCTTTGACGAATGTGATTATAAGGCCGGGTCTATCCCGATAGACCACGGGACTGCACGAAAAGTCGACTCCTGAAGCTCGTTCGAAATAGCTGATGAGCTTAAGCATGGTGGGTCCAGGCCGTGTCTGCCAGCGAAGCTTGTATTTCTCGGCAGCCATGCGGAGGTGCTTATTCTTCAAATGGAACCCGTACACCCACTCTTCATATAAGAGGCGCTTCTGACGACGCTCCTCGCGAGTCCTGCAAGACTTCATGAGCAAAAATTGAAAATGGAACAAGTGTCTAGCCCTTACGTCTTCTTTTTCGTTCGTTTCGATTGCTCGAGCGAAAGCTTCGCAACGCCACTCGTAATTGATTTTGGCATAACTTCCAAGCGTTACAAGGTAGTGGGATGAGGAGGCGTGTCGAATAGAGAGGGGAGATGGGGCCTTTGAGCAGTGACGGCTATAATATAGTCGTTGGGAGAGAAGCGTGGCTCATGATCAACCATCAATTATCAACTACACTTATCCATTTTTGGCATTTGCCTAATTTGTGGCCGTGCGTAATTTCTTTTAGTAGTGATTATTGTGGAATACCCTGCCTCATTGACGGCCATGTCCAGAAGAGGTTAGGGCTTTCATTACACTCCATTCGGTGAGCAGATAACCACTTTTTCCTTGTAGACATACATCGCATTCAGATAAAGAGACACAGTGGCAGGTGGATAACAACCACTAGTGGAATATACTACTGGTAGCTGGCAATAGTTACAGTAGTAGGACACAAGAATGTACTTAGGGCTGTTCCAAATACTCAGAGTCAGCAAACTGCCTGACGTATAGGCACTCGTGCATTGTTGCAGAGAAACACATCATGACAAATTGTTTCGGAGAGAGAAGACCAGCCATGTTTCCGGTTTCCTCGAAGATGGCCGTCAAAATTCACTACAAAAGAACCACTCAATGAACGGATAACTGTTTTTCCATTGTAGATATACATCGCATTCAGATAAAGAGACACAGTAGCAGGCAGATAACAGCAGGATCGGAAATGAAGAAATAAAATGAAAGGGATAGAGTGAACAGAAGAAATAAACGTAGAAAGAACTAAATATTTTATTAAGAATACTAATACCAGCCTCCAAGCACAATATGCAGTAAAAGTCAGATATACGGGGGAAAGTCAAGTCATAAGAAAAGAAGATAAAGGAGTATGGTGAGAAGGAATAAAGGGGGAGGGCTACGGATTGGGAGAATGGAGCGAATTCAACGTAGTATGGTTGATAAATCATACAAAGGTATAAACACCAGGACAGAAATCCAGAAAATAAAAGTAATGATCAGGAGATACGCAATAGAGGAACTCGCAGGTAATTAATGAACTCAGAAGAAACATAACAATGCCACATCACGACCCATTTCCTAGCTGCACTGGAGTCATTTTCGGAGGCGCAATATGCCCCGCATCTGCGCTCACAGGAGGAATAAGCGGCTGTGCAGGTCCTGCAAGACCCGTCGAACCGTTGGGGGGATAAATTCCTGGTCCATGCGTAAGACCTAATCCATGTCCACTCAACGGTGCATCAGGACGAGTACCGGGGCCTGCGAGTCCAGGTGTACCTAGACGGCTTCCTGTATTTCCAGGTGTGCCAGGGCCGGCAGGAGTAAAGGCGGCGGGCAGTGCCTTTGATGAGACGGGTAGGGGAGAGACCGGGCGAGTACCTACGCCCTTTGGTGTCGACACACCAACGCTCGCACGTGGGGAAGCATGTAGTGAAGTTGACAGACGGGAAGGTGAATGCAGGAGCCCAGGAGTGAACACTGGTGGAGGCGCCGGTCCCATCCCCGGCCCAGATGGTTGTGAAGGTATTGACGGAGGAGGGCTTTGGGGAGGCAAGCCATTGCCATTTCGCATGCGTGGAGATCCGAGTACATTCGATCCTGAACCTTGGCGCGAATGTACATGATGCGTGCGTCGGGATGGGCCATCGTTATGTGGAGCATGTCCAAAACCATCTGGTTGTTCATATCGGAGTCGTTCTTCCGCCCAAAGATCACGACGAGATGGAGCACCTCCTTCCAAGCGCGGAGGGTTGTGTCCAGCTTGAATCAACTGAGAGGGAGTCATCACAAACGACGGTCTCTCCCTATCTGAAGGCGGCGGCCCGAGTTGGCTCATTGGAGGCGGTCCCGATGGTACATGTGCATTTCTACTACGATCCCGGTCTCGTTCACGATCGCGCTCGCCCTCTCGAATACGTTCGTCTTCTTGTTTCCAGTATGGACTCGACGGAGTCGGCTTCTGCAACAAATTGATCTGTTCAACTGCTGGTGGAGGGTGCCTAGACGATAACTCATGATCAACATCAAGGGGACGCTGTCCTGAAGGCTGCAACGGAGTCCGTCCTGGTGGTGCGTGATGGTGATGATGAGTATTTTGTCGGTGGACGACATGATGGTGGTGGGGTACACCCTGTAGCTGCTGATGCATATGGTTATTCCGATGTAAATGTGGTGTATGCAGACGTCCGTATTCATCCTGAGCTTGTGCATCCTTCGCGTTATTCTCGTGCCATACCCGTTCTCTCTCCCTCTCTCTCTCGCTTTTTGCTTCTCTATCTCTTCTGTGCTCCTTTGCATAACCGTTCATCATTGGCTGCTTTGATGGACCTGGAGCACCATTAGGATTCGAGGTGGCACTCGGCGGGACCTGGGTCCAGTGCTGTCCAGGTCCACTTGTCGCACCATACAGCTGACTACCGTTAATGGGTCCACCATGTTCATAACCCTGCATCGGTGGAGGCGACGGTGAACGTAATGGTTGGCGTGTACTATGTGGAGGATATGCACTTATTGTTGGTGGTGCTCCTGGACCTTGCATCGTGCGCACTCCAGGATGATGTATGCTGCTCATGGGTGGTGGGCCAGGCTGGTGATAGACACGCCCGGGAGGTGGAGGGCCGTATGGATGGTGTACAGGCATAGCGCCAGATGGTAAGCCATGCATGAAAGCAGGCCCATGCCCAGGCGGACCCATCCCTGGTGGCGCGTTGTATTCTATATAATGCTGATCAAAGGATGGCGGCATATTCATACCAGGCCCTATCTCACCCATGACGGGACCGTGATATGCTCGAGAACGCGGTGCGGTAAGCAGCTGTAGGTCGGTCTGGATTTCTTGTGGGCTCAGGACAGACAAAGACGGGTATGCATAATTCTGATCTAATGGCTCTCTGCGTTTGCGTTTCAACTTTGGACGGTCCTGGACAGCATCAAGAGAGGCAAACTTGACGAGCTCGCGGACGGATAAAGGCTTTGCGGGTACACGGCCAGCAGGTGGTGGAGGGATACGTTGCGCTAAAGAAAAACATTCAATCTTACGATCCATGTGAAACGCGGCGAGTGACGTACGCAGCGATGGACGATCCAAAGCACGTTTTTCCCGTTCAAGTCTTCGTCTCTTCCTGTTAGAGTCTGCAAACATATTCGTTTGAAGGTCATTCCTCTCAAACTAGGAATTGCTGAGTCAAAATGCGATCAATAGATGCATCGAGAACACATACCTTCCACCAGCTCCATATACTTTTCTCATCCATTTTGCGCATGAGCGTGACGTGCTCATCCTCATAGCTTCGCTTCTTTGCAGCGAGTTCAAGCCTTGTGTCATGCCGGGTCTGTAGCTCGTTCTGGAGATGTATCATTTCAGGATGGAGACCTACAATTTCATGAGTAAATTATGAATATCAGAATAAGAATAGTTAAAGCGAACCTCGAAGTACCAAGGCTTCCTCCACAGCCAGATCTTCCATCTTCTCAACGTACAATGCTTCTCTCACGAGAGCGAAGCGTAGTTCGATCTGCGCGAGTACATCAAGAGCCTCAGCACGATGAGCAGGCTGCAGGTCGAGCTCAGCTTCTTCGGTCTCGACTTCGGCTTCGACATCCGCATCGCGTTCTGCATTTTGTTCGACCTGGTCAGCATTGTCAGCGCCGTCGTCATTCGGGCCTGCAACAGTGACTGTCTCCGGCTCGACCGGCTCGGCTTTGACCACCTTTTCCGTTATGGCGCCTGCAGGCTCTTCCGCAGGTTCGTCTTCCGGCTCGGGAGACGTAGATGGGGACGGAGAGGGAGTTTTTATGATTTGCTGGCCGGCCATAATGGAACTGCTGGCTGGTGCCAGTGGGACGACGGGTGCAGTGTCTACATTTTTGGCTGGTTCGGAATCATCCTCAACATCCTCGCCTTCTTCGCCATCCTCACCAGCGTCGCCAGTGACATCGTCCTCCTCTTCTCGAGGCTCTTCTTCTTCCTCGGATTCCATTGAGTAATCACTGTAGGGTGCGGCTGTTGGTTCTTCATCTTCTGTGAGCGCGGTGGATGACTCGCGGGTGACGGCCTTAGCGAGAGGCACAATAGCTGGGACGGGTTTGGATGGAGGCTCGACACCATCGTTTTCAGGTTCAGAGTCTGCGGGTTGGTCCGGGTCGCCACCATCGTCAAAGTCGTCGGCGTCGTCGTCGTCATCCGACTCTCGACGCGCCGGGTAGGTGTAGGGCCGGCTGCCTTCAGCATCGTCCTTTTCGATATCATCGCGTGCGATGTCATCAGGAGCGTGGCCCGCATTCGAGGCTGCTGAGTTTCTGGAATGGGTGGAGGAGGGCTCGTCCGTGTCATTGGACTTGCGACCGTTGGCCTTGTACGCCCAGTCCCACATGGGCTCGGGAACGATGCCGGAGCGCTTTCTGCGCTGGACGCGCCGGCCATCCTGATTAGGAGTGTCGCTGTGGGGAGACTCGCGGCTGCCGTCCTGTTCGTCCTCTGTGAGCTCTGAGAGCTCTGAGCTGCTGTCGAGCCCTGCTGCTTTAGCTGTGGACGGGGACTTCTTGGACGGGGACACGGGGGGCGGGGATGGGGAAGGCGAAGTGAGGGAGCCCGACGAGGCTCTGTAGTCAGATAATGCGGACATCGCCTGCGTCGAATGGCGGAGCGACGGCGAAGATGGAGGCGGGAGGGGAGCGGGACGAAGGGCGACGGAAGACGGCAGAGGGATTAGGTAGGTAGGTAGGTACTCTCAACGCAGGGCAGGGCCTGGGAGAATGTCCGCACGTGACATACAATCCATTTTATCATATGCATAATCGCCACTTTCATGCCTTTTGTTCGTCTCCTCGCCATTCTGCACATTGTCATCTGTTTCAGCAATGATCCGCCACATGGAGAGCCATTGCATGAGCAGAAATCTTTGAGGCTTTGCCTCGCCACTCAGGGCATTCCATAGTCGTTGATTGCGCGAAAAACAAAGGAAGCCCAAGACGCCCGTAAACCCGTGTTAATTCCTATCCGACGATCGACACCTTCCGAGATATACTGTACAGCATACCGGAAGCCCACCAATTCTGCCATGTGCCGTGTATGTATCGTACAAAAGCCTCGTCCTCAAGAGGCCATACAAATATGCATGATCATGCCCGTCTGGGGATGAGGCGACCACGAAGCTTTAGAGTGATTATGGAAGAGCCATCCGAGAAGACGATGTATATCATATGTATAGCAAGTTGCTGTAGTCCTCTCTGGGACTATGACGTCGTGTAGAGTCTACTAAGTAACTCTATCCTAAATCGACCTCTTTTATAATTTTCTTGAGGACGACTGTATGCAGAACATTACCGGTACTATTATTAAATGAGATAACATACGAGCCAGCCGTATCCATACCTTCTTTGGACAAAGTTTCGGCAAATCTCGGCTTCGGCGACCCGCAGTCACGCGTCGTAATCTTCATTCGCCGCACAGCTTGTACACTCTACCAGTGTACCAGTCAGCACCACCTGCATTTTCACCATAGCTCCAGTATAGAAACAAAAAACAATTACGAGACCTTTGAAACTCTTCAACTGTTCACGTGTTTCCTTCAGATCCTTAGACCGCCATGGCAGCATACTTCTTCGCGTCGCCAGTCGACGTAGACATCAAGCTAGAGGGCGAGGATGACCGGAAACAAGTCGAGGTCAAGCTCGAAAAGGAGAAGTCTATGCGGTGTCCTGTCTATTATGACGGCGAGTCCGTCGTCGGTCAGGCAAGCCTCGCAATTGACACACCCTTCACAATGTGTTCTTAAACATCCCATAATCGTTTATGTATAGGTTTCTGTCCGTGTCCGTGACGGGAAAAAGATCTCGCATGACGGTATCAAAATCGAGTTCGTCGGAGCAATTGGTACGTGTCCATACTGTCTGCATTACACCTCTTTAAACTGATACGTTTTGAGGCGCATCAGAATTGTTCTATGACCGGGGTCACCACCATGAATTTTTATCCATGTCACAAGAGCTAGCCGCTCCAGGAGAGATGCGACAAGCGCAGACATACGACTTTGCGTTCAAGAATGTAGAGAAGCAGTACGAGAGTTACCAAGGAATCAACGTCAAATTACGGTAAGCCGTCTCTGGCCGTGTACCTGATCTGTTTATTTATACTTGTCCAGATACTTCATACGAGTAACCATCGCGCGTCGAATAGCAGAAGTTGTGAAAGAGCGAGACCTCTGGGTACACTCATATCGTATGCCACCAGACACCAACAACTCCATCAAAATGGAAGTTGGTATTGAAGACTGTCTTCATATTGAGTTCGAGTACAACAAATCCAAGTACGTCATCCATTCGCAAATCCTGTCTTTCCCTGTCATCAGCATAACTAAGTGAGTATATTACAACAAAGATATCATCTAAGAGACGTGATAGTCGGTAGGATTTTTTTCTTACTCGTCCGGATCAAAATCAAACATATGGAGCTCTCGATTATCCGGCGCGAGACGACTGGGGCGCCACCGAATCAGTATAACGAGAGCGAGACGATCACGAAGTTCGAAATCATGGATGGCGCACCCGTAAAAGGTTGTTATCTAATTCATTTTTACCTTTGGTGGTATCAAGCTCATATTTATTATAATTAGGAGAGACAATCCCAATACGCTTATTCCTTGGCGGTTTCGACCTGACACCGACCTTCCGCGAGGTGAACAAGAAGTTCAGCACGAGGTATTATCTCAACCTCGTCCTCATTGACGAAGAGAACCGGCGATACTTCAAACAACAGGTTGGCATAGCGTTCCCTTTATCTCTCATGCAACAAATTCTAATTTTATGACCCTTTTCGGTAGGAAATCACGATCTTCAGGATACCTGAGGTAACTATGATCGTCTTTCTCTCACAACGTACCTGACGACTAACTGATTGCTTCCCCGCAGAACTGATGCCTTTTTATACGTATGGATTATAGCTTGTACTTATTTATGCATGTTTGTTCTTAATCTGCAACTGCGCTCTTCGCAATCCAACTCGAGTTCTCAGAGCATTACATTCAACAAAGGGTATCGACATTGCGTCCCAAAAGTAGGCAGAACAAACGACAAGAAAAGCAGGCATAACGAAGAACCGAAGCGAACACACCAGAAGAAAAAGCAGGCATAGCGAAGACGAAGTCGAAAATCGAAAGTCGAAAGAGGAATACTGATCAATAAACATGAAGTATACAGTCTACCGACCATTCACAGAGTAAGCTAAGTAGATCAAGAAAGGAAAACGAGAACGAGAAATTTTCAAGCCAAGCAAATAGTCTTTAAATCAACCAAAAAAGATTACACACACACAACGGGATATGCCTGATCATCGTCTCGGAGAAACTCCGCTATCTCGCAGTGTATTAAACCGGTCTGAGATATCGATTTCGTCGTCGCTCCCCGCTGTCCAACCATCGCGTAATGCTGAACGTACACCTCTTACGGATGTAGATCCAGTACTGTCGTATAGAGGCCGTCGTTGGAAAGGTGAAGAGGGTGATAGACTATCCGCTCCGTCAGTCGAGTCACCGGCGCTGAAGTCAACAGAGTCAAGGTGGACACTTTGCCTTGCTGCAAAGGACCCTGTTGACGGTGTGGGTGTCGGAGTTCGTCGAGTCGCCACACGCCCGATACTCTTGATCCGCATCAGCTCGCGTTCCGTATGTGATACACGAGTCTGCGCTGATCCAGAGGATGTTGTGTGTGAGTGCGCAAAGGGCGCAGACTTTACGCTCGGGTTAGAGTATACGGGTCCTTGTCGTGCAGCGACGGTTACTCTTTTCCCGCTCACGGGCGTAGCACTTTGCAAGCTAGAAGAGCTGCCCGAGCTGATTGCGCTGAGCCTACGAGGTCGGCTGATGGGTACACCAAGAGTTTCGTTCACACTAGGGAATTCGACCATATCCCATTCGGTTTCTTTCGCCTTATCCTTGGCTTTGCGCTCATGTTCTCGTGGACGACCTGTGAATGGGGTATAATTGACGGGTGACGGCTGCGGAGCACCGCGGTACGATTGACGACGTTGACGATCGAACTGTGCGACGCGAGTTGCGATGAGGTTCAGACCACTCTCTGCAGTTGCAAGCTCTGAAATACGATATTCAGGACCTTCTTCTGGATTCTCGTCGTCGCTATCAGCGAACGGGTCGATGGCACCGTCCAGATCACGTCCAATTGCGAAGTCGGTATCCAGATCAGTGGGTGACGGTCCTGATGTATTGGTCATACCGGGAGTTTGCACTCTCGCAGTGGTGCTGGGTGTTCGAGACGAACTGAACTTATATTCACGTACATGTTCCGATCGTCTACCAGTACCAGCAGTACCAGCACTACGTGTTGACGTGGGTGTCGGATTACTGGGGCTCACAGATACACGTTGCGCTAGAGATGCGTCGGGACCGGCGATCGAGGAATCAATGGGTGGCGGTACAGGCATGTTCTTCCGTCGTAAAGTACTTGATTGCGAAAGCTTGCTGTCATTGCTGCTTTTCTGCGATACGTGACGAGATGGGTAGTCTGGTGTATCTCGACTCAGTTCACCGGCAATCGTCGGAGGAGGCTTCCGCTTGATCGAGTTACTCGGCGAGACACTCGAGTGTATGGTACCTTTCTCTGTTGCCTCTTCTACGCCGTCTAGCATAGTCGAGTGCGTTTGTGCCTCATGGTAACTGTGTCTTCTACCACTCGCCGTGCGTCGCGGTGGAATTCCAGGGAACTGGGATGCAAGTGTATGAACAACACTCAGCGAGTCTGACGCGAGACTACTTCCAGACATGAAGCGTCTGTGTCCATCCGAGAACAAAGACTCCGATTTGGTACCAGCAAGCTGTCCTAGGTCTTCCGTAGACGAGAACTTTGGGTTCGGTCGAACTGACCGTGATAAGGTGTCCATGGCATCCGTTGTATAGCTTCTGCTTCCCAAAACTGGTCTCAACTCGCGTGGTAAACTTGGCGCGTCTACCATCGGAGCTGAGGGAGGGGCAATGGCAGAGAATGAACGTGTCATAGACCGTGACGACTTCCTTGATGGTTCACCAGCACGCCACTTCTCGTACGATGCGTCAGAAATAATGGTCCCACGTTTATGAAATGTCGCGGTAAGGACTTCCGCTGACGGCACATCTAGCACAGAAAGTCGCACGTCAAGTGCTGGAGGAGCACGACCGTCATAATGCACAGTGACCCGCTTAGGACGAGGAATTGGTTCCCCACGTCCTTCATCGACCGCTCGCGGAAGGGAATAGAACTCTTCTGCAGTTGGAGAAAGCCGCATGAATGTGCTCGTGCGAGGATTAGAAATCTTGGCACGAATCTGCGACATCGTGCGTCCGCGTCGATGGCCAAGGTTGCGTGATAGTGACGCACCCTCTCTGAATAAATCGTCAAATCAACAAGTGGAAGCAAATGTCGTAAGAATAGACTCACGAGTGTAAAGCACCGATCCCCAAGCAACACCGCGACGCCATGCGAAGAATCCTCCTGGTAAGTATGATTGCAAACCCGTCATTCACAAATCCCAAGACGGTTTCAATAGCGCCGAGTTTTACGCCAAGAGCGATCCATACGACTCCGCGAATCGTTGGCATGTCACATCCTTCAAAGAAACTACGGCTAAGTCGGCGTTCCTGACGTAGTGAGACTGCGACGTATATCGAAAAGCAGAAAATGAAAGCCTGGATGACGATGAGTAACACAAGAGCCACGCTAGTAAAGAACTGCCAGATAGTTTCATCTCCGGCTCTACCGAAACCGATTGCCAAGAACGATTGACCTTGAGAATCTTGTAAAACTCCTGCCGAATATTATGTGAGAAGTCAGCAACCACAAAGATGCCGGCCTTCATTAAAAGACCCACGGTATCCGATTCCAAGAAAAGACCCAAGCTCGTTCATGGCGATAGTAAGCGGTATTAGAGTTAGGAGAGCGTATTTCGTGATGGAGCGTGGAAGCCGCTTAAGGGTAGGTAGGAAGTAGGAGCGGGCATAGAGGAAAAGAAAGATGGTATATAACAATATTGGTACAAAAGAGAGGGCACCTGACATTTCTGTCTGTCAGTTTATCGGCGAATGGAGGGTTGAGGGCAGCTCACCGATTACAATGTCAAAGATCTTGAAGGTCTCCAAATGATTACGAGCTATGGGAAGGACATGGGATAGGAGGTCCAGTAGCGCCACAATGTAAAATGCAGAGCTGTCTGCAAGTATCATGAAATGCTTCCTCCTAGTAAGTTGTTTGTCAGTGACTGGACATTCCACGATTTCCAAATATATTTTTGTTCCGCCGAATAGTGATACGACTTGTGTCTTGCCGTCGTGACACTCCGCGCTCCTTCCAGCTACCTCACCACGTCCCAGGTGAAGTTACAGATACGACTAAAATGATGACACACCTTCCAGATCGCCAGTACAACGCCGTTAGGGAGACAAGGAAGATCATTTGCACTGCAACGGGTACAAAGACGACGCCATTCTGCATCTTGCTGAGCGCCGTGCATCGTACGATGGTAGCTGCCGAAAGGCAGCTTGAGCTCATGAGACACAGTAACCAGAGAGATTGGCGTGCAAGTTGTGTCCAGTTGCTTTTGTGTCTTCAGAGTTTTGGGTGCGGGTGCATAATTTTACAGTTCAGGTTCTTGCAGAGTAGAATTCTGGCTAGCGACGAAAGGAATGACAGGTAAAGGAGAGTCTAGGGAAGGGATTGCAGGCCTGCTGCAGACAGTGACAGACCAGCTCTGAGAGAGTAGGAGGGAGACGGCGGTGGGATCGCTTTCGGGCAAGACTGGCGGTTGCTACCGATATATAGGCAGCACGGCAACCGCATCTCAGCCAATCAACGCGTTACCTAATATTTTTGTTCTGCTAAAAACAATGCTTCCGACACCTTCAGTCGGGCCAAGTACCAGAACAGAGGACATGTGTACTTGAGAAACACCTACATATGGACTCGCTACGGCTGTACAGTATGTTCTAGGGTAAGTGCAGCGTCTAGCGCTAAAAATATGACATGACGCAGATCACCTAAACTGGGGCTAACCACAATTGGATAGTCACGTGAGTGAGTTCGCCTGCACACGTGTCACGAGATCATCTCTTTGGACTGTGCCTCCACACCACCTAAGTCTTAACTCCCGTCTCTCCACATACCCTCTCTTACTCTCCTGTTCTGTTGTAATCTGCACAATGTCAGACTCTGACGGCGACTTCTCCGATGAACTCCTTGAGCTTGCTGGCGCGAGCGAGAAGAAACGCAAGAAATCGTCTTCGTCAAAGCAGGCAAAGCGCCGAAAGGCAGCCAAGTGAGCATTCAAGTCACCGTGTTCCTCACACGTCTCTTAATCGGATCTATAGTGTACAGAAGTCTGAGTCCGAACAGGAGTACGAAAGTGAGGAAGATGTCATGAACCCGTACCCTTTAGAAGAAAAATACATAGACGAGGCCGACAGAGAACAGTATGTACCCTCAGGAACGTGAACGACCGGTTCAACTAATCCCCCTCCAGTCTATTGTCACTTCCTGAGATTGAACGCGAAAATATCCTGTCGCAGCGCCTGGATGTGATTCAACGCTACCAAGACAGACGCAATCTCGATCAGATGCTACGCGAGCAGCGTGGTGAAGCGGACAGCGTCTCGAAGGCAGCCAAACGTACGTACGGGTGTTTTCCGTTCAACGTTTGCGGCTTATAGACACAAAATCCAGGTGTACATCAGGCAAGAGGGGCAACGGAAAAGAAGTCGCGGACACTTGATGAACTAAAAGCGAAACGGAAAGCAAAGAGCGAAAAGAAACGAGTGCTTGATGTTGATCATTTCTACATGGCTATATACTCACGTTCTTCTGTTAGAAGGTCAGTTCGCCGAAACGCGACCGATCATCGTCGCCAATGGACATGGAAATGTCTTCCGAAGATGAGGAAGATGGACAAATCAGCAAAGAGCAACAAGAAGAGGAACGTGAAATGCGACTCTTGAACCAGACTACTAGCCCCGTCGAAGAAGACACTACGTTCGCCGACATGCAGAAATGCCAACTCTCTAGGGATCTGCTTAAGCAATATGCATATATGCCGTGGTTTGAGGAATATGTAAAAGGTATGCATCTGACTTCTTCCCCGGTTGCCGTTCTCTTACGATGTTTGCGCTTGTAGGATCTTGGGTGCGTTACTTCATCGGGCCCAAAGGCGGTCAACTTGTATATCGGGCTTGTGAGGTTGTGGGTACGTAGTATTTCATACCACGTTGTGTGCTCTTTAAGGAACACCCGTAAGGCATTGGACCGCCCGCTTCGAAGCCTTACAAGATCGACGCCGATTACTTTGACACGCAGCTCGAGTTGCGTTACGGTCTTGCGGTGAAAGCATTCCCTATGGACAAGGTGTCAAATGGCGCAATAAGTGAGGTATGCCACACTCCTTTGTGAGTCTGTGGAACTAGCTGGACAAACAAGAGACAGGGCGAATTCAATCGAATGAAGATAACTTGTGAGCACGAAAAGTGCAAACTCCCGACGAAGCGTGCCGTCGAGAAGAAAGCACAACAATATGTTGACCTGCCCAAGCATACTTTAACAGAAGTGTGTTTTATTATTTCCTCCCCTGTACTGTTTACCAACCCAGGTTCGTGCTCAGGCGGAAGTCAGTGCCATGATCTTACGGAAGGCACAACTTGAGCGTAACTTGCCGACGTCACGAGGCGGAAAATCTTATGTGGGTCTTGACCGTGCAGAGCTCATGCGTAGGCGTAACATAGCTCTGTTACGCCATGACGACGCGGAACTTGCGCAGCTCGATGCACGGGTCGCTGAGCTGGATAATCCGACTGGAGGATACGTGGAACCCGAGAAGGAGGATATCCTCGCGAAGATCAACGAACGGAATCGGCTGGCCAATCAAGAGGCAGTTCGACGTGCAGAGGCTTCTGAAGCCGAACGCAGGCGAAAAGCATGGAAGGCGCGTGCTGCTGCGAGCCCGAGACCGGGAACTCCAGCCATACCGAATGCTCCGAAGTACGTTGAGAGTTTTACGTCTTTCTCTGGTTGCCGTGGCTGACCTTTGTCTCTTGATATTACAGAGTTGAAACACCCGCTGGTTCTCCAGGAGGGACTCCGAAGCTCGGAGCAACTCTTACCGTCCCTGAGGCAAACGGAAGTCGCCCTATCTCACCCGTTCCAGGTAAAGGGCCATTAGGAAGGCGGACGTTTGAGAGTATTGTCGCAAATTCTGTTGAGATAGATTTGGGTGACTTCTAGTGGTCTCTTTGCTGAGGATGTGCTTTCCGCCTAGGTTTTGGAATCTGTTGTAGCGGGGTTAGCATTAGTGCATATGTAGAATACATTGCGAATGTTTTTTCGATGGGTTCACTAATAATACTGAGCAGATGCCGAACAAGACAGAGAATTCTTGAGCTGGTAATTCCTCTTCGAATCATTATTCTTGGCTTCCCAGCTAATGAAATGTCCAGACCTATCCAAGGCGTATACACGTGCCAATAGCGACGATTGGTGACCATTCTTCATGGTGTTTGCGGGTTGGTTGCTTACATCTCGTGTGTACTATGTATCTTACGAATCCGGAACAGAAATGACGTTCTATGGCAGATAAACGACAACAATCTTGATATTGTTGTACTTCATTCGTGAGTATACTGGCAATTTTGATGAAATATTCCTTCACCATTTACTCAATTCAGCTTCGCAAGTGTTTAAGGCCCAAATTTGACTGAGAACCGCCTACAAAAGTCTCACGTCTTTAACAAATCGCCTCCGTTGATACCGTCATTCTGATTCGTCTCTATTTCCTCCAAAATTGCTTCGGAAACAAGTAGATCCGGATATAAGAATAAAAGCGAAAAGTAATTCCGAGAACAAAAAGAAACTACTCGGGAGAAATACAGAATCTGCGGGATGAAATCAAGGTCCTAGCGGACGGGACAATGGAAGGGTCGCCATTAATGAGAATACGTCGCGGTGGACTGTATCGATAGCTTTTGAAAGCGGACTTCTCTAAAGTCTGGATAATGTACAATTGGGAATCGGATATACAGAAAATGCTCATTCTCCGCTTTCAAGGGCGGCAACGATGCCATACGCCGCGCCTGCAGCCATACCACCTACAAGTAAGGTGCTCACAGCACCCCATGCGTACCCACGGAAACCTCCCTCTGCACCACTTACATGCTGTTTCACAACACCAAAGACCAGGAGTGTCAATCCTGTCACGATGACACTATACATCAATGCAACATGCGCACGTGGTATGAAGAAATAGGGCAATAAAGGAATTAGGCCACCGAGGAGGTAGCCCATGCCGATGGTAAATGCGGATATGTATAGACGTTTCGTGGGGACTTCCTCTAAAAATAGATTGTCAATTTTAGCTTTCTGTCATCTTAGTAATTATAAGTCTAAAGTACGCACCCATGCCCTCGCCAAATTTGAGTAAAAACGCAGTCACACCAACATCCTTACTCCATCGAAGGGAGTTTGATTCCATGTCGCCTCCGCTTGCAGAACCATTGATATCGTTCTGTGAGGTACCTTCCATTTCGACGGAAAGTAAATTCTGGGCCACGCGGCGCGAAAGCTTCTCATCTACGCCGACAGGACCGAGTATAGCATGAACTTCCCGTTCCATTTCTCCAGCACATGATCGCAATACGCGTGCAGAAGTATGTTTGCGAAGATAACGACAGTGATCGCGCTCCGATTGGGAAGCAACTATTCAAAACGATGTAGTTTAGCTCAAGGAAGGGCAGCTCATAGAAATTGAACTTACGGAATCCGCCGACACCCATTGAAATCGCACCTGCTATAAGTTCCGCAACACCGCCGAGCACGACAAGCTTGGATTCACCCAAGCTGGAAAGACCAGCCGTCAATGCGAATGGGACTGTTAAACCATCAGACAGGCCAATGACTCTGATAGGGAGGATAAAGAGAGGTCAGCTGTGATTTCTCTGAGAACGAAATAACAAGTAGCAGGGGGCATATTTTTAGCATCTTAGGTTATAAATGCATGTTCATGTGCTGAATCTCTTCCTTGCCAATTTGCCAGCGCGCTATCCGACTTGCAGCCGAAATGAGGTCCCTCGTGCAAACTTTCCGCGGCACAACATCCGTTGCACGATACCAGAAATATTATTTACCACTCTAATCCCCAATCATAGTGCTCCTCTCACAGAGCAAGCAGAATATTAGAAAACAATGCTCACACATCGCGGACGACGTCCGGATCTACCAAGCTACGCTCATCCTCACCCTTGAGTTCTTTGCAGCACACGCCGTCTCTTCGATCACTATGGCGGTCGCACTTGGCTGGGAGCGGAGTGTCCGTGTCGTCATCAGCGGCACTCGCCACCGCCCAGATCGGAGGCTGGTTGCTGCTTGACTCGGAGGTGCCAGTTGCCCGTCTGTCTCTGCGAGGGAGAGGCACAGAGGGTGCGTTTGAAGACATGGAAGACAGAGGCAAGAAAGGCGTTGATGGAGAGGTACGAGGCTGAAAGAGACTTCCAGACTGCTGGATTATTTCAATGAGCGTCGATCACGTCGAAGCTCGGCTGATCACGTGTAGGTGCATCATTTTTTTACGACTTAACCGACATCACATTGTACATGAACATCCACCAATCGCGTCGAAAGAAACTGCTTCGTGAAGTTCATCATTTGCCAGGTAGGACAGTCTGGTGTATTCTTGATGAAACAACCATGCCGCCTATCCCTTTATAATGAGGAGATAATGCATGTCATACAGAACCATATCTTCTGCTGCTTGAATATTAATATGCATATATCTAAGAAACCAACATAGCAACAGAAAATGTTTGCCATGAGAGCCATCTTCCTGTTCGGTGACAGCAATTCTTCTCGTCTGCTAGACAGGATACAGGACTGACTGATAGAAAAGATTGATCCATCGGCCATTGATTGAGTAGGATGTGGAGAGAAAAGCAGTATCGTAACTAGTGCTCCGCACCGTAGCGTAATTTACGGATACGCCTGCAGCGTATACGCTTACGCACCGTATCGTAAGAGAAAATTTTAGCTGAAAATACGGGCGTATATTTACGCGCGTATGCGTATACCATAAGTAAAAAATTTCCGTATACGCCGTATACGAGTATACGGTATTACTAAGCATATTCTCTAATTAAATACTAAGTTTGAGTTTCTAAACCTCATTTACTTTACTTATTTATATACCAAATCATTTTAATACTATATAACAACCTTGTTTAACTTAAAAAGTACTAGTATGAGTAC